TGACTATAAAAAAACATATGATCTTCCTGGCCTTTTAGGAATTTGTCAGTTTGCAACATAAATGGAGAAACGCGCATTTTGTTGAAAATCATATGATATCACGAATATTTAAACATCACTTGTATATGAAATTGAAAATAATTCATGGTTCAATGGCGCCCCCCCCCCCCACCAGTACGCAAGTGCCATTGGTAGAGAATACCCAAGTGTATCCAGTTTATTATTTAATCATCTGCTGTATAATTATGTCCTATTCTAATCACTTTAATTCTTACTACAAAACATCCCTTCCCACTTTTATTGAAACGACCTCCTTTCATCTGAATCATTATGACCTAGTGTGTTATTTTCCAAAATATACTTTATCATACCGAATTAAACTTTATTTCAGAATAGAATATATCAATAATAAAGAAGGTGGAATGAGATTACATGTAGCAAGGGTGAATACGCGAGAGACGGAAGTCATCGGCCCGGAGGGGCTACGGTATAACACAGTACAATATTATATCTGTTAAGTATTTTGGTTCGTTTATTGCAATACCTATAATTGTTCATTTGTCTCATTTTATTAGGTTTTAGTCAACTAGGGTAAAATCTTTAAACAGTGATTGATTTGTAAATGGCCATGTATTACGTTTGATATTGATCATTATATTTTTGGAACATTTATATTGAGCAAAATGCGATTTACGTCAGTACTTCACATCACCATTATGACTTGAGATATTATACTTAATGAGTTCAATGGAATGCATGTAGCTAATTAATTTACTTGTTGTAGAAATGTACGTTTCTGTACTATGAACCATGTTGTTTATGTATATATATATATAAATACACACACATTATATCATTCATTATTCCGACAACTATACCTTCGATTGTTACTAACTATAATAGCACTATTTATTGTTTTGTAAATAGGTTTGTGTGACGAAGGAATTCACGAAGTTCATACAAAAGATGCATATATGTGTTGGAAGATCAAGTACTTGTGTATAATAGTAATTGCTTTTGTATTTCAGTATTCCGTTATCTTGATATTTAGAACTGGATACGAAACTCAATTTAATTATTTGATACATTGTTGGTATGCGTTTCATAACAAATATGTGATTGATAATTAGAGGAATGTATACGAGTTGTGAGTATTTTATGTTTATAATGACATTTACGTTTTGTTTATAAATACACGTACACGTAAATCGTCAAACACATGCAAAGGATGCTGTATTTTTTCTTCTCACTTTGTCCTCGTTGTGTCTCGCCAAGAACCCCCATCAGCCATAATTGAAATCTTCACAACAATGACACTATACACACATACAAAACACGACATGCAACACGTGCAAACTATCATCTTCCTTTAACCAGGACAGTTTTCGCCCCAAAAACTGTTTCATACACAGGACCAAACTACTGGGGCACCATTGATCCGAAACTCAAACAGCTTAAAAACTGTGGCAGCCTTATAAAACATATCAAATTGTTATAATTTAATTCGTACATGTAATGCACAACTATATTATTTTTTTCCCCGACTATGACTACCGACCTTGAACATTCTATTCTAAAAACTTCCTTTTCTCTCTCTCCTCATTCTTCTTCTGACCCCCATTCTTGACCTTCTCTCTCTATTTTTCGTCTTTCTTACACCCATCATCCATATCATTTCATTATTTTTTGTCTGTATAATTTGCTTTTCAATTGTTATACTTTTACCTTATTATGAATGACACTGTGTCAAAATTATTTTGAGGAATTTAAATTCTACAAGCTATATCCTTTTTATTGAGTCCCTTTTTTCACATGTAATTTCGAAATTATTTAGTGTAAATGCCATACAGACTTATACTATGTAGATGTCCTTATTGTTCACGAATATCAATTTTGTAAATATGCTATGTTTTGTAAATGTATTGCATTTTTATCATGTGAAATAAAAGAAACTAAACTGAACTGAACTGTGTACGTTTTCAATTAGTTTGAGAGACGACTGCACTTACAAACAAGCTATAATGATAACACTATTTAACTTTTGTGCATCTTCACCGGACATATCGTGACTAATCTTGCGAGCTCCTCTCCAATTTGCTCTGTAAAGAAATTTTCATAAACTGTTATTTTCCTAGTTATTGATGACGGAAAAAAATTGTTTCATAAATGGGTTTCATAAAAAAAACGTACTTCCAACAATCAAATTTAGGGAGCATTTATGATATTTTGGTAGAAAGCAAATGGGAGGGAGCTTACAAGATACGTCACAGAGTTGCCAATTTGTGTTCGATTGATTGCAACTTAAACAGTTCATAACTTTCATATTTTTAATCGGATTTTGGTCAGAATTCCACTGGCCAGTTCCTCTTATATCCTGCTTCCATAAATAAAAAAATCAAGAAGGGAGAGAGAAAAAATGTGAAGGTGGGGGTCAAAGAAAAGGTGGAGGGAGAAAGAGGAAGAAGGAAAGAGGAAGATAGGGAAAGAAGGAGGGAGTTTGGGAACGAGAGAGTGGAGAGAGAGAGAGAGAGAGAGATGAAGATAGATAGAGCGAGAGAGGGAGAAAGAGACAGGATAAAAAAGTAGTAATTGTACGTACGTGACAGAAGACTATCTCAAGCAGCGATAATGATAGCAAGATTACAAGAGAGAGGTTGAACATAAGGGGAAATGGATTATTTTTAAAATTATGTTACTAGTTCATCATTCAGTTTACTCTCTTTCTTCCCCTACATACCTGAGCAACTCTGTTTAAAAACAACCCACACGAAGTCTTCGCTCCTGATCAGACACGCTATTGCTTAATACACCCGGAATAAAACTTGCTTGGGGCGATCGGGCTTTTTCTGCAATGGGTCCAAAACTCTGGAATAAGCTCCCTCTACGGATACGCCAACTGTCGTCAACAGAAACATTCAAATTACAACTGAAAACTTATTTGTTTCTTTCGTTGTAAATATTGTAATATTTTAATTTACCATGTCTAGGAGAATTTCGAATTTTGTTTTTCGGTTTATTTTTTTTTCTCTCTTATGTCTGTTACATGTCCTTTTCTCTAAGCGCCATGAGCACCGAAAGGTGGACCTGTGCGCTATACAAGTAGCCACTATTATTATTATTATTAAGAAAGAAAATGAAAAAAGAGGAAGAACTAATGTTGGAAGAGAATATACCATAAGAGAAAAACTAAGAATCAGGAGTGACAAAAACCAGATATAAGGCTTTAAGGTATGTGTTTTTGAATGCTTCATCGTCAGATGACAGAGCAGAACCAGGTACAACGATTACATATTGATATGGGAATATTGTGAAATAAAATACGATCAATCATTCAAAAGGTTGTATGCTTAAAATACTACATACAGTTAGTGAAATTAGATGAATTATACACTTTACAGATTCCAATAATAAATAAAGATAGGCTATTTTTTTCATATAAAACATATTTTGTAGAATGTTGGAAACGAGGAAGTAGGCGATAAAAATGCATAGGCAGATGTACACATAATAATGTGTTGATGAAGTGGGAGAGGGAGAAAGGGGGAGAGGGGAAAAGATAGAAAAAGAAGTTAGTGAGAGAAGGAATAACAGAAGGAGGGAATGAGTAATATAGTAAAGAGAGAAAATGGAAAGAGGTAAAAGAGAAAGTCCAATTTCATCAATATCCACATGTTACTTCATTTGTTCTTATACTAATAAATATGGTTGTATTGATATATTTCACATGGCTTATAGTGAATATTGATTTAAATGTGTATACCCCAGCCTGTTGCCTTTCGTGTTTACCCCCATCTATCTTACCTTGGCTATATTTTATTACATATTTAACTTAGTATTTTATTCTATGTTTCCAGTATTCCGTATTATTATTTTGAAATATTGTACGATTATGGATTCAGTATTATTGTTTCCTAATATAAATTTTCATTTACTAGATATGATATTTGCAATTCAAATGCATTTTTTACGGGTCTGTGATATATCTTTACGCTGGTGGAAAGCTTTGAATCCCGCAGCTTTTAATCCCGCCGATTTCAAGACCTTTTCAGACTTGTTTTTTATTTCAAAATCGAGCGCGCGATCTTTATTTACTGGGTACAATTAAGCAGAAAATTCTTTACCAAAAATATTTTTTAAATAGTGGTAGGAGATTTTTAAATGAAGAATATACGAGAGAACGATATAGTGGTAGAACTTAAGTAAGAGGGGTAGAGATAACAAGGGGGAAAACGCATGTGAGAGAAGGAACATGGAAATTGAGACGGAGAAATTATCTCTTTTGATAAGTAACACTATCAAGATGTAGATTAAAGGGAATCGTCCTCTTGAATGAGCTAAATTTTAATATTAGGGACTTTTAGATTTGCGGGGACTGATACGTGTGACGTCCATTCAAGGTAGTGCATTAAAAGGAGGTCGATCGTAACAATCCCCATTGTCTTCGTGCGAATCTAAACGTCCCTATTACTAGAGCATACTTCCTCGTTTGAATGGTTATTTGTGTAGGCCTACTAAAACTGATTACTACTAGACCACTAAACAATGGATAGTTCCAACATCTGTTAGTCTTTTTGCTGATTTCAATTGTACAAAGGAATTACTCTCTAGCTGTTCGAAACGCCCAGTGTCATATTTAACGCCTTCTCAATACTGCATTATAGCAGGCGATAATTGAGGCACGGTTGCGAGATTGTTCCCATTACCTTCAGCCTCTGTACGTATGGCGTCCTCTGTATTGCGTATTGGTGTAGTATATTGAGTAGAAACTAGAATATTAAGCAGAAAAAGTAATACACGATTGGACACTTGGTTCATAATCTTTGAAACAAAGTGCGCCTGTGTGAATGTTCTACGTTGAATATAGATTCATTCAATGTTGAAGCTATTCTCCATACAAATGAAATCGAAATGCGTTGGATTTTATTTTGTATAAAATATGCATACTGGATTTTGTTAAACGTCTGTGTATAGGGTATCATCTCTAAGTGTAATAGCTTGAGAGTCCTATAAAGACTTGTATCGTTTACATGATCTGTACTGACTGCAGCATATGTTGGCACTGGAATTACCGATAAAGGATAATAATAGATTTTGTGGAGAAATTAAGTGCTTTGGAACAATGGGACTGGGGCTCGTTTGAAACAGTCTCAATCAAAGCGTTTTAACCATGGCATTTTTGAATCGTTCCACCCGGAAGATATTGGTCAAACTGATTGGGGTAGGAATAGTTGTCATCCTTCTCATCATACTAATCGAAACATTCGAAAGAGACCACAAGACTGTTGCGAATTTTCAAGGTTCTGGAGGAGTGGTTGGATTCTTGCACAGGATGACATGGATAACGCCTCCGAATAAAGAACGAGTTGATAAGGCAAAGACTTTGAGCTATAAGGGCAGACACAGGAAGTATTTTTCTGAAGCACTTGTAGATCTGTTTGGGTTTTCTAGTGAATGCCATCTACGTGACGCTGATGGTACTAAAAAGGGTCTGCGTTCAACAAGCGTTATTATTCTTCTGCATTCTTCCCCATCGAGAGTGGCACTCCGAGGTAAAATACGAGAGACATGGGCTAGCCCTGAGGAATGTCGGAAACATGGTGTTCTTGTAAGGTTTGTAATGGGTGGCCCAGCCAGTCAGGACGAGGTTGAACTGCTTAAGGAAGAGGAAGCGAAACACGGCGATGTTTTAGTCGGGAATTTCACTGATACTGTCAGAGCAACCACAATGAAATCTCTACTTGGGCTTCGATGGACTATCGCATTTTGTTCTCGAATAGATTACGTAATCGAGGCCAGCGACAAAACATTCATGTGGTTGGACAAACTGCCGAAGCTACTACGGACCTTTAAAAAGGAAAAGAACTCAAAGTTCATTCTTGGGGCCCGGTCCAACTCTTCCAGAGTTGTTCATGACGCCTCGAGCGAGTTCTACGTCGGTAATGCCGTATTGAATCGTGAATTTTACCCAGTTTACTGCTCCCTGCAAGCAGGTATTATCATGCCCTTTGCCCTGACGGTGAAACACTACAAATACACTTGGTCAACACCAACATTGGTGCCTTTTGCTGATGCCCTGATTGGACTTAGTGCTGAGGCGTATGGCTGGAAGGTAAAACATAGCCACGCTTTCTCTCTGGAACTTATAGGACCGAATGATGCCTGTCCCTTGAGTTCTCGGTTCACAGCAATATCCCCTATCTTTTATAACATTCCTACAATCTGGGAACAGCTACATGATAGGATGTACATGAAGGAGTGTGATAACCCAGATCTGGATGTAATCTACGCGGGAAAAGTTGCAGATAATGCCAGGTATTTCAAAACGGTCTTGAAAACTGTTAGAGAAAGTTCCGAGGTCAGCTGTGTGGAGCAAGATTTGTTCATGATAGTGCTTATCTCATCCCATCCAGCACGTAAACATTCCCGGGACACTATACGTGGAACCTGGGCCAACAAGGACTTCTTGGGTTCTCTCTCAAAGAAGGTCAAGGTGTTCTTTCTCATTGGACAACCCGATCCATTGAATCCTGCGCTAAGATTAACCTTGGACGAAGAGCACGATCAGAACCGAGATCTCCTAGAGGGGAATTTCCTCGACACGTTCAAGAACCTCACCTTGAAACACATGTTCGGTTTGACCTGGACGGCAGATCACTGCAGCAATGCAAAGTATTTCTTGAAGGGTGATGACGATGTCTTTGCAAATCTGGAAAACATCATCAACCTCCTGCAGGAGATGAACAGCCATGGCAGGGGTCTTCGTAAACTGTACCTAGGAGATGGAGGAAGGGAATACCGCAACAGGGATCAGAATAGCAAATACCATGTGTCGTCTGAAGAATACAGCGGCAGGGTCTTCCCGCAATACTGCGTGGGTGGAGGCTACGTGCTTTCCGTGGACCTGGTAGTCCACGTTCTGCAGGAAGCACTGCGGACACCAATGCTGTCTTCAAGGGATGATGTCTTCGTTGGTATCCTCATGAAGAAGCTACAGGTGCCTCTGGTCTACAATGAAGGTTTTCTCTACACCATGGGACCAACTGATACATGTTCCTTGAGGGACAAGAGTTTCATGGTGATGCATGTTCACGATAATTTCGAGGCACTTTTAAAGATTTGGAGGAATTTCGTGAAAACCGATGTGCAGTGTTAGTCTATTTGGAGCCAGAAGTGCGTTGACAAGGTTAATGTAGACGTGTTGGGACCTATAGTTGATACAAAAGCGGACTGTGGATCAAATGGTTCATGGTTCGAGTCTCACTGTGGCACCTATAACCGATTGGCAAGTCATTAAGCTACTTTTGCCACTCTCCACCCAGCGTACACAGAAGGAAAATATTTCCTTATCATGGGAGGTTCAGCTACATCCGGGGTAATAATTAGATACTTTGTATTAAGTGCAGGAGAGTACCGGTATATTTGTAAATTACTTAAATTGACATAATCATTGAGATCATTTGTGTTCGACTTATTCACACGCATAACGTACATGTATATGTAAATGCACTTAAAGTAGTTCGAGGTATCAGGGGGGCGTTTCAAAAAGCCCTTTAGTGACAAATAACAAAATCAGTGACATATCTGCTGATTTAGGAATAACAGTTGTTTTACAGCGATGTTTGGTTATTTCGATTTCAGACATAATGTAGTACTGTAATTGGTGACATACTGTAATGTGCCGCTTTTATAATTCAAGCTCTCTTATCACGTGGCCTACAGGAGCATTTAAAGTGGCCTCTACAATAAAACTTGGGAATGAGAGCATACAGTATTGGGGTTGACATCGAAAAACAGGGATAAGTGAACCCAGTTAGTGAACAGTACAACTCTCGTTTTGGTTTTTGCACCCTCCATTTCAGATACATATGGCTAGGTTTTGCAGGTGCGCCCGCACCCTCTTTCTATAAGGGTACCCACACACACAATCCAGCCTTCCCACAAACGCACTTATATATCACACACCCACATACACACACACCCACAACGCGGCCACACACCTCCACGTAAATTCACGCTTATGTATCTTCCCATCCCACATCACACACAAACACCCACATCCCACTCAGAACCCAGCCAACCCACACAAACTCACATTTCTGTCTCATCTCATCCCATATTACACACCACACCCCACTGACAACCCGGCCACCCACACCCACTACCCAGCCACCCCCTGACACAAAAATACACTCATGTCCCATCTCTACTTTACACACTTACACCCACAACCACAACACAAGCCACCCACTGACAACCCGGCCAGCCATCCCACACAAAATCAAATTTATGTCCCATATCATCCTACATTACACACCCGCATCCCACGGACACCCCAGCCACCCACACCCACAACCCAGCCACCCCACACAAACTCACATTTATGTCTCATTCCATCCTACATTACACACCCACACCCCACTGAAAACCCGGTCATCCACACCCACAACCCAGCCACCCCATACAAACTCACATTTATATCTCACTCCATCCCACACCCCACTGACAACCAGGCCACCCACACCAACAACCCATCTATCCCCCTCACACAATCACAAACTTATGTCTCATTCCATCCCACATTACACACCCACACCCCACTTACAACCCGGCCACCCACATCCCATCCAACCCCCTCACTCGAACACACTTTTGTCTCATTCCATCCCACATTACACACCCACACCCCACTTACAACCCGGCCACCCACATCCCATCCAACCCCCTCACTCGAACACACTTTTGTCTCATTCCATCCCACATTACACACCCACACCCCACTTACAACCCGGCCACCCACATCCCATCCAACCCCCTCACTCGAACACACTTTTGTCTCATTCCATCCCACATTACACACCCACACCCCACTTACAACCCGGCCACCCACATCCCATCCAACCCCCTCACACGAACACACTTTTGTCTCATTCCATCCCACATTACACACCCACGCCTCAGCCATCCCACACAAACTCACATTTATGTCTCATTCCATCCCACATTACACACGCACACCCCACTGATAACCTGGCCACCCACATCCCATCCAACCCCCTCACACGAACACACTTTTGTCTCATTCCATCCCACATTACACACCCACGCCCCCACTTACAACCCGGCAACCCACACCCATAACCCAGCCACCCCACACAAACACACACTTATGTCCCATCTCATCGTACATTACACACCCACCCCACTCACAGCCTGGCCACCCACACCCACACCCAGCCACCCCACACAAACTCACATTTATGTCTCATTTCATCCCACATTACACACCCACACCCCCACTCACAACCCGGCCACCCACAACCAAGCCACCCCACACAAACACACATTTATGTCTCATTTCATCCCACATCCCCACTCACAACCCATCAAACTCTCTCTCACAAACACACACTTATGTCTCATCACACCCACACACGCACATAACTTGTTTCGACTGCAATAATTTACTATATGCTTACACATTGCTCATACAAGGACAAAATTGTTTCAAATTATGTTGCACCCATAAGTTATGAGATAAATGTCGTTTCAAATTTCCACCATTTCACATTATTGATTGCAAATGAGAATCAATACTGCAGGGTAATAGGGTAAAAATTAATCAATCTTCACAGACAACTAGGTTCCTCAAATTATTAGAGAAATCATTTTACTAATTTTCTGTATGGAGCATGATTTTGAATTGAATTCTTCATAGATGCGTACATGTATCACATGTAAACACCTACTAATGACTCTTCCTAATTGCTTTAAGTTTTTTTCACAATGTAATCGCTTGAACAGAACCTAACCTTTCTCATAAAATATTTTCTATTTGTCCAATTTTGTTGAAACCTCCTCTGAGTTGTTTCTCCCGATTTCTCTGCTCCCTTAAAAAAACACCTGTCTAGATAACACATAAATTTCTCCACCCACAATACCAATACAAAACACGAAAACCAAGTACCTCGATTGAAATGATAACATATTTCAAATCATTTATTTAACTCAAAACATCCTGAAACTATCTGCATACCATGTTGTCTAACTTTTTGCACTGATATCTTACATGGCTATCTCCATTAAGAGAAGAATGATAGAAATCAAAGAAGGATTCCTAGAACATTTTTTGAACTTTTACTCAAGCATGACAAAGAAGGGACATTATTGCAATACACATGCATGTTAATTGTTCAACCTACGTATTCATGGTTTTGTCCTGACCAATAAAAGATGATCAACATAAAGGAACATGTATAAACAAATTTCAGGAGAGTAGGCCAAACAATTTCCATATTTAAATGTTTAGTGATGATTCACAGCACTGATATGGCACCAAATTTCTATCCAAAAAACTAAAACGAGGTGCAGGCTTCTCCGTAACACCATGGGGTAGTCTTACTGAAAAGGCTATTGATATATTCTTTCTTCAAAGTAACCGCTTATGTGTTAGGTATTAAGAGGAATTAAGGAATAAGTATAGAGAAACAGGAAAGCAAGGAAGAGATGATAATGGAATGCAGTTTTATGAAACGCTTACAGAAGACTATTGTGGTTTTCGTTTTCGGTGTTGTGGACACCGAAAATTAGGTGAACAGAAAGGAGGGAAGAGAAGGCAAAGGAGGGATCGAGATTGAGAAGGTTGTGAGCAGATTACAAAAGTTGAAGGGGGAACAAAAAGAAAAGTGTAATTCTTAAAAGAATTGTTGGTATTCCTCTGTGGAGTAGTTCTCAAAATATTTTCTAAACTACAGCATTCTTCTTCTTCTGTGTCAACAGATTTTGAACAGTGTGATCTGTTCATCGTCAGATTGTACTTATGCTATTGTAACAGACTAAAAGGCCTTATTTTCACAAGAGTTTAACTTTGTGTGAGTTGTTAAAGGGTCAGGAAAATACCAGTGCTATATAATATCTGTTAACTAGTCATCTGCAAAAATGATAGAATATATGTTAACTTTTAAGTCTAGTCATCTGCAAAATGATAGAATATCTGTTAAATAGTCATCTGCAAAAATATATGTAAGTGAGTATTGTTGGCTTAGAAGATATTATGCCTCCATATTGTGTGCCCGGACAGGTTGGCTATCTAAACAGTAATTCAAAGAAGTTAACATGCAAAGCTTTGAAGACGTATGTCGGACAATATAATAAGTAACAAACATTTATGCATATGACAATTCATGGAGTAAGGATTTTGTTCAATTAACAGTCAATAGTGACAAAAGTGTTAGAAGCAACAAATCTGCATGAAAAAATTCCAAGAATAAATGTTTCATCAATTGGCAATAAATGCATTATCCAATCAAGTTTTTTTTGTATCTGTTTCATTTCCCTTGGATAATTGGGGGATGTCTCAAGAAGAATAAGATCAACTTTAAGTTGGACTTAACTTTGGCAGGCCATCCATGCCACTGTTTGCTCTCACCATTTACTGGCATTGGTCTCTCAAGGAACGTACACAATCATGGTCATGCAAATCTACAGAACTCACATTTTTTGATAATTCATCATTAAAGGAAAAGATATTATCTAAAGATCATAATGGTGAGAGCAAACAGTGGCATGAACTGCCTGCCATAGTTAAGTCCAACTTAAAGTCGATCTTAGTCTTTGTGAAACACTCCCCTGATATTGGATTAGGATAACACAAGAAAGGAGGGTGTAAGTTCTATCATGACCTTATGCTAAATTGACATAAAAATAGCAAGAAACTAATGACATAAAAAGTGAGTCCTGTGTTACACATTTTGGATGGTGACGTTAAAGGTCGGTCCCCAGAAGTAAATAATCACAAATAATCACATGCACGTCTGTAAAAACCCAATTACCCACACACACATTTTGGAAAAATCAATAAGATAATGATTTGTTTTTCAGTTCCATTCTCCTTAACAGGTACAAGTTTACTTCAATAAAGTTCCGATACCTCAGTATTTCTAGAAATGTATCGACCTAAATCATATCTTTAGTCATGCGCTACTTGATATATATTTTTTCTTTTGTAGGGGGGGGGGGGTGAAACGTTTCTCATTTGAGGTTAAATACGACGATTCATCAAAAAAAAAAAATTCTATGAGCAGGTTATACAGAGAGAAAAGAAAAAAATAGATATAATTGTAAAAAGAAAAATTATCTTATATTTCATAAACCAAGCTTTAATATATTTGATATCTTTGCTTTTACATTGATTTCAGTTATAAAATCTGTTCATCTCTTTCCATATATAAATTCAAAAGAATTTCAAGACATTTGATGGAAGTAACATTAAATAGACAAAGGCCTGCATTCTACTTAACCAGAATAATACCAAGTCTAAAATCACATTCCATAAAGGAAAACTTTGACCTCAGATGAACTTCCTTCATTAAACCCAATTGTGAGCAAAAGCCTTAACGAGGATCTGGTTAAGTTTTCATAGAATATGGGTCAATTAGCATTAAAACAAGAAGCAGTTCCTTGCTTCACTGAATATGGTCTCCTCGTAATAGCTCATGGGCATACCACTAATGGTGATGCAAAAATAACGTTCTTTCCATATTCAAACATAGAAATGCAGACAAATTGAATAATTAGGGGCAACTAAACTCATTAAAAAATATGATACTATTCATAGGACGATTAATAGAACAATTCTGTATGGGTAGCAATACATAAAATGTTGTGTCGCTGGCAGAAGTTTGTTAGCATGCGCACATGCATTAAAGCCCCTCTGCACTAGTTTGGCATGGAGGGATTAGACCTCCCTGCAAGGTCACTGGCAGGTGGTTATCTCATCAAATCAGCTCTCAATTAACATAAGAAAAAGGGCATTGTGGGGGATCAACAGGTGCTGCTTAGGCATTGCTGGCTGTATAGAGGGCGCAAGTAGCTATAAATAGTGCAGTGGAGCTTTAAAGCAAAGTTCTGGTCACACACTTCTAGGGTTCTGACTGTAACATACATGTTAGATATATTTATTATATTTTGACAGGGATTTCTCTCTTTTATTGAATAATAAAAGAAGAGAACATGGGTTGCAACTACCTAATTTGAGTAGTTCATATCAAATAAGCGCATGTCATAAAGCACTATGATAACACATTTTTAGGGTTGGATTGCTCTATATATGCTACATATTCTTTTTTTATTAATGACAGGGATGTCTCTGTTTATTGCAGGGAAAAAAATACTTTAAAAATTTTGGGGGCTACTTTCCGAGCTTGCTTGCATGAAAGTAACGCTCTCTAATTTCTTTTGCAGTGAACTCTACGCAAATTTTGGGGGCTCTTTTATGACTTTCGGGGGCTTAATCGCCCCGAGCCCAGTGTATTTTTTTTTGCTGGTTTATTGAATAATAGTAGAAGAGAACATAGAATGCAACTACCTAATTTGAGTAGTATCTTATCAAATAAGTGCACAGCTTTGAAGTTACAGGCATTTCAAGGGCTAATGACTTTCTGCTGAACTCCATAAAAGGGACTTTTAGATTCTGCACGACGAGAACGCGGACTGCCCTTTTAAGGCAATGTGACGTCACTGCCAGTGCCTTAAAAGGATGTCACATTGCCTTAAAAGGGCAGTCCACGTTCTCGTCGTGCAGAATCTAAAAGTCCCTATTGTGTGTGTGCATTTAGCAGAACAGTGCAATGTGCTAGAACCTTTCTGCCAGCTACACAACAAAATTTGGTTTCGTTCAAAATTCCTACAGCCCAAGAGCTACATGTATGGCAGACATGGAATAACCATGCTCAAACATATGACATTGTTAAACCAGTACGAGATGAAGATTATTTGTACTACATTGTGAAACCTGCCGAGAATACTGGATACATGCTCATGAAAGTTGTGTGATCAATATTTATGCACAAATTGACCAATTCACAATACACGGATGAAGATATTCTTTTAAACAGAAGAAACACTGTTGTTCATTCACCACCTCTCACTATGAACATGACGGACAAAGAAAGAGGACAAAATATACAGTTCCTCATTCAACCCTCAACATTAGAGTGGTAGACAAAGGAACATCCCTTCACTGCTATTATGTAAAGATCTGTAGAACAGGTGTCACATGCATATTCACCTGTTCTACACATTTTTACATAATAGCAGTGAAGGGATGTTCTTTTGTCTACCACAGCAATTGTTGAGGGTAGAATGAGGAACTGTGTATTTTGTCCCCTTTCTTTGTCCGTCATATTCATAGTGTCTATCACTAGCAGGAAAGGGGTGATCTTTCTGGCAAGGACAAAGCGAGACTACTCCATCTTCCAAAGATCTGTGGCTAATAGACTATTTTCGTAATGTAACCAAATTTAAAGATACTATGTCCCTTTTGCAGCCAATATCAAATTTTGTAGAACCTTGCAGGAATTATGAATATGTCATGTATGTCCTATCTGTGAAATTAAACGTTAGCAGTGTCCTAATATTCAAATTATGCAAGGAAACCTGTTTACTTGCTAGACTTTACAGTCAGACACTATTGAGTGACTGACTGGCTTTTTTCTTCTTTGGTAATAACATACATTAAATGAGCTGTAAAGGGTACATGCACATTTGTCTACATCAATAATTCACTTCTTGTAATGGCCAAAATTAAACTGATTTAATCTTTGCGCAGCTTAAAATGTACGACCATTTGGTACAATGGTCTGAAAATCAGACTATTACTTACGGGCTCTATAGCCCTTGAGTCGATTTGACAACTAATAGTTGTTATTTTCCCACTTAAAGACATTCTCAAACCCCCCTTTCTTTAGGAAAGTTCTAAATTAGTATCATCTTTCAAATGCCGTTGGAATTTAATCTTTTCATTTTTTGGGCCTGCAAATGAGACATAGTACCTTTAATGCATATGTCTGTGTGAAATGCCTCGATACCAAGTATTTAATTCACCTGTTCAGAATAATTTATTTCAATAGTCAGAATGCAAACTGCATATATAATGTGTTTTTAGGTAGGACAAGGCGTGTTTGTCCTCCCTAACATAAACTAATGTATGCACTCCGTATTGAAATACTATTATTTGTATCATTGAAATACAATTAGTCGTAACGGGTAAATGAAATAATTTGTAACAAGGCACTTAACCAATAATTGTGCAATAAATTTGATCACACTACGAAAAATGGTCTACCCGGTATCACAACCTTGTCTAATATACAGTATTGCAAATACATTCGTTTGTTAATCTCTCAATATAAGGTTTTCTTATATAAGGTTTTCTTATATAAGGTTCTCTTATATAAGGTTTTCTCTCAATATAAGGTTTTCTTATGGGACATAGAGAACATGATATGTTTTCCATGTCTCTTCTTTGTTATGACCTCTCTTCTTCCTCTCTCTTTACAAGCACAGTGTAACCAGGGCCTAGTCTCCTAGAAACATAAGCAGTCTCCTCATTGGTCACTTCTGTGGTTTCTTTCCCCTCAGAGCCAATCACAGAGTTGGATGGATTGCTGTTGACTTCAGACTGAGCTTGCCCTGCCATAGGGTTTGTTTCATTTGCTGCTCCCTGTGAGGAGCTGCTAGGAGGCAGCTCGGCTGTGATACCAGGACTGTTTGGTTGGAGCAGCAAACTGGGATCAGAGGCTACTCTGTTTGGTGCTACCTCTTGGTTCATTGCACCAATCACAGGCTCTGTATTAAACCTGCGTAGTTCAGCAACTATGCCTACATTAGAAGCCGCCTGTGGTTGGCTGAAGCTGATATTAGATTCCGGTACCACCATGCCTTCATCTGCAGAGTCCACTTCCATTGGCAGGGGTGGACTCTTATCTGTGAGGGGCTTACTTATTTCCACTGTCTGTTCCTCAATATCCATTTGAATATCCCTCTGTATGCTTCCTCCCCTATCCTCATTAGTAGCGCAGTCCACATCCACAGAAACAACTTCATCAACAGTCCCTCCATCCATGCCGTCACCTACACCCCTCTCAATGTGAGCTCCGACTTTGGAATGTTCCATTTCCACACACTGCCCCTGGTTCCCCATCTCCTCTTCCATGTCAGGATAGGGGTGTTTTGATTCACCTGGAATGTGGCTCTCGTCATATTGCACTTGGTCCTTAGCTGTTCCAAAACCCTGTATTGCACCCTTCGCTGCTTCCAAACCACTATCAGAACTCTCTCCTCCTCCATCGCAGTCGCCACCAAATTTCTGGTATTTCTTTGATTGTGGCAACTTGCCATGAACCTCTTCCTTATGTACAGCCCTAGCCCCTTCGTCCACACCGAGAGAGTGCCCCCTCCCAGCGAATGCAACATACCCGCTGGATGAAGCCTGATGATCCACCTCAAGGTCACCTTCACTCATTTCCAGTGACCTCTGACCCAGGGCAACGTCCTTCAATTTTTCAAGGTCATCCACATCTGGGGATACAGGAAAGTGACCGAGGGGTTCCAGGCACAGCTCTAGACGATCGTTGGGCTTGGAGAAACGGAACCGCTGTGAATGAAATCATACTCATAGTACATCAGAGAGAAGGAATAGAGGCATTTTATTGGTCAGGCCTAAATAAAAAAGATGTTGTATTGCCCTTTGCGACTGACCCAAAAATCTTGAAACCTACCGTCGGTTTAAAAAAAAAAAAAAAAAAATCAAAACTTCATAACTTTCTTATTTTAAATAGATTTTTAAAACAAATTTCTCATTTTTTCTGCTTCCATTAAAACCAACTTGATATCAGGGTGGACTTCCATTTTACTAAGTTTTATTATTAAGCATATTTTTTTTTCTATTTTTTTAATTGATCTTTATTTCATTCGTCATCAAAACAAATCAAGTACAAAACACAGTATACAAAACATTTAAAATAGAATACAATAGCAACAATAATGCCATATGATTGTGGAGACAGCTAGCAAAGCCAAAGGCTTCATTGGTGCTGCCATTGAAACAAAAATACAGTATCATAGTGTTGTTTAAAAAAGTGATTGAATGAAACTATTGCCTAAATAGAGGGGGAAAAAAAGAACAAAACTTCTTTGATTAACTGGAATTATAAGTTCTTGTAATGATCGAATCATTCTCCCAATTTCTCGGTAACAAATAAATGAATATATAATAGATGATTAAAAGTTCTCTAGTTCATTGTGAAACCTTATCATCATTATGTATGATTGACGCTTTAAAAAAAAAAAAAAAAGCAAAAAGCAAAAAGCAAAAAGCATATACATAAAAATGTTTTTACCTTCTTGGGTATAGAGGGCAGCATACAATGTTTGCTATCTTCAAGACCCAAGTCCCTCTCCACAATGTTGTAGAATAATCCCCCTCTCGAGAATAGTTCAGGCTTCCCCTTGGAGTAGTTCCACAGGTCTAATCCACTCAGTGCAGCCATCAAGGTGTGGGATGTGAGCTGGACCTCTAGATTGCTCTCTGTAGGGGTGTCAATGGAAGGAGGGATGATATTCGATTCAAAACTTTGGAGAGAATTGTTAGTATTTTACATGTATAAGAGTCTTACATTATGCTTGTAATAGCTAATGTCCATATTCAGTTGCATCATTTTGTTAAATATTTTAATGCTCATGCTTTTACTGAAGTTTAGACAGGCACTGAAATCCAATGTTACCCTAATTAAAGGGATTGGGTAACTTTGCCTCATAACTTTTCCTCAGATTCTAAAATAAAATCCTAGATTTAGCTCATGCTGCAATCATAATTATAACCCTTTAGGTCGTATATGCATCCCATGACTTTTACTAGTCAATCACCTGTCTGGTTATTAAAGAGAGGCTTTACTACTTCAGCTAGAAGGGATTAGACCACCCAGTGAGCCATCGAGGTCATTGTGACAGGTGGCTATCTCATTAACTCAGCTCTCATTTAACATAAGAAAAAGAGGATCATGGGGGACCAACAGGCACCGATTTGGGAAGTTTTCTATAAAGAGGGAGCAAGTAGCTACAAGTAGGACAGTGTGCCTTTAAGATATCTATGATTGGAATTAGAAATTTCAGGATATGTTTTCCTAATGGTTTTTATAACACTAGTCTATTAAGGAAAATGAGTAAGGTAAAACCGGTCACTCAAAGATTCTTACTTTTTTGAGGCACTTCATGACCATTTTGAAGCGCAATATTTTTAGGGCTTCAAAATTACACCATAAATCAGACACTGATAACATGTAGGGCCATGCATCTCCGATTTAACAATGTTAAACGATGCCTTTAACAGCAACTAGCGATATCAGTCAATTAGAAGACTAAACTAATGCATTCAGCTTCTTATTTACAGAGTTTCATTGCAGATTTCATGTCAGAAAAATGCAAAAGTAAGAAAAACATAGTTAACTCTGCATAGGTCAAATCTTTAGGGACACCCCAAAATAGTTTGAATGATGCACAGTTCGACTAGGGAAGATTAAATAACACATCTTTTGCATACTTTGGTTTCATTAAGAAAAATATTTGATATAAGAAAAATTTGAATTGTGCGGCTGTTAATTATGCAGAATTAACTGTACTATCTTGCAAATTCAAAGAGTGCTAATGGTTTCAGGTCATTCATTGAGTTTTATAGCTGATTATATAGTAGACAATGTAACAGGATACATATTAAAATGTTGCCAATTTAAACGACCGAGCTGATGTAAACCTCCATAAGGGTTACCTTGACTGTCTTTAATATTATCAATGTCTTTCTTGAATTCCTTAAGAAGTGCGCCCTGGTTCATGCCTGGTTCGCTGATCCTCTTCTGCCTGTTAGATGCTATCCCTGCCGTCATATAATGGGGATCAGCTAAATGAAATGAGAGTCACACAATATTCAATGTTAACTAGGATTTTTTTTTGTCGATAAGATGTGGAAATTTTTCCTGTTTACATGAAAAATAATCAACTGATTGAAATATGGGACATTTTACGCATTGGCCAACACCCTGTATATACTGTGCTAGATCTTGAACCTGCAACCTTCCCATCTGTGGGGCAAGTACACATACCATCTGGCTGAAGGCTCTACAAAGCCATTAGTCTCAAAATACAGTATTAAAAAATCACCTGTATACCATAAAAAGGCTACTCGTCTATAAACATTGCTTTTTAAGTTCCATTGAAACATTTAATAAAGGAACCTGTGAATACAGTCAGACCAATGCTCATATACCCCACTTTTCTAACTTTGTTATATTCCTTCATAGAGAGGTATATCTGAATCACATTTGTATCTGGCATGACCTTTCTTGCCATGATTCAAATTTAGTATTGTTTCTACTATAACGTTTCACCACAAGAACAAGTCTCAAATGTATTACTATGAAAGAAAAATCAATATATGAAGAGTTTGATTCCAAAAGGAGTTTGATTCCAAAAGGGGTTTGATTCCAAAATGAGCTAAATCCCCTTTTGATGAAAATTGAGTTATTGATATCAGAACATTGTTTACTTCAGTGCCTGTCTTTCAACAAATGTATTTACCTAAATTTTGGGAGCTATTACGAAAAAAAGGAACATTCTAATATGACTTTTCCATAGACGCCTGTACGAAATCTGGTTTATAAAAAAAAATCTCTCAATTTACAAAAACAGATTTAGCTCCTTTCGGTATAAAACTCTTCACATGTATACCTCTATTTCTATCCTGCACGACCTCTACGGTGACCTTGTCTCCATTCCTAAGCGGCAGGGCTGTGCCGTCCTCATCAGCAGGGGGCGCTCTCAGCTCTTTGGGTGGGAAGCCATACTTGATTCGCTGCTTGGCCGGAGGAATGTGAAGCTTGCATTCTATCAGGGTCTGGAGCTGAGAATAGGTAGTGGATGCATCCAAAACCAAGGTGGTCTGAAAAAGAGAATAGCAAAGACGCTCAATATTGACACTTTGATTCAATGAACAGATGGTGAAGACACGTGGTCTGAAAAAGAGAATAGCAAAGACGCTCAATATTGATACTTTGATTCAATGAATAGATAGTGAAGACACGTGGTCTGAAAAGGAGAATAGCAAAGATGCTCAATATTGATACTTTGATTCAATGAATAGATAGTGAAGACACGTGGTCTGAAAAGGAGAATAGCAAAGACGCTCAATATTGACACTTTGATTCAATGAACAGATGGTGAAGACACGTGGTCTGAAAAAGAGAATAGCAAAGACGCTCAATATTGATACTTTGGTTCAATGAACAGATGGTGAAGACACGTGGTCTGAAAAAGAGAATAGCAAAGACGCTCAATATTGATACTTTGATTCAATGAACAGATAGTGAAGACACCCAAGACCAAGGTGGTCTGAAAAGGAGAATAGCAAAGACGCTCAATATTGATACTTTGATTCAATGAATAGATAGTGAAGACACGTGGTCTGAAAAAGAGAATAGCAAAGACGCTCAATATTGATACTTTGATTCAATGAATAGATAGTGAAGACACGTGGTCTGAAAAAGAGAATAGCAAAGACGCTCAATATTGATACTTTGATTCAATGAATAGATAGTGAAGACACGTGGTCTGAAAAGGAGAATAGCAAAGACGCTCAATATTGATACTTTGATTCAATGAATAGATAGTGAAGACACGTGGTCTGAAAAGGAGAATAGCAAAGACGCTCAATATTGATACTTTGATTCAATGAATAGATAGTGAAGACACGTGGTCTGAAAAGGAGAATAGCAAAGACGCTCAATATTGATACTTTGATTCAATGAATAGATAGTGAAGACACGTGGTCTGAAAAGGAGAATAGCAAAGACGTTCAATATTGATACTTTGATTCAATGAATAGATAGTGAAGACACGTGGTCTGAAAAAGAGAATAGCAAAGTCGCTCAATATTGATACTTTGATTCAATGAACAGATAGTGAAGACACGTGGTCTGAAAAGGAGAATAGCAAAGTCGCTCAATATTGATACTTTGATTCAATGAACAGATAGTGAAGACACCCAAGACCAAGGTGGTTCGAAAAAGAGAATAGCAAAGACGCTCAATATTGATACTTTGATTCAATGAACAGAAAGTGAAGACATCCAAGACCAAGGTGGTTTGAAAAAAGAGAATAGCTTAGACGCTCAATACTGACACTTTCATTTAACGAGGGAGGCAAGAAAAGATAGTGAAGGCATCCAGGACTAAAGCAGGCTGAAAGACATCACATTTCTTTTTTTCCAATGAAACCATTTAGAGCTTAAATTCAAATCAGGGTCTGGAACGATAGACTTTGTAGTAGAGGCAACAAAGATTACATGTAAGTGTGGTCTGAAAAATAGAATGAGCAAGACTAAATTAGCTTGAAGACTCCAAGGAAGTAAGCATCAAGCAAAGATCAAAACCAGGGGAGCGTTTCACAAAACTTGTCATCAGTGACAAATGACAGTTTTTTGTTAGGGGAGCCTTCCAAAGTTGCGACTGTGCCCGGACGCGTCGGGGCGCGATGAATAGAACAGTCGCGTCCCAAGAGACGCATTGAGGCGCAAAGGGGCGCGAAGGGGCGCAATAGACACCCTCACCTGATTCTTGCATATGAAAAGAAACCGTCTATTGTTAGTATAAACCCGCTCTATTCTTCTTGCGCCCTTTTGCGCCCCACCAGGCGATGGAAGATTATCTCTCCCGTCATTGTTCTCGCTCGTGATGCGCGGTACAGCTTAAACTTGATATACAGAAAGTATTTGTCGGCCAAAGCCTGTCTTCCCCTCCTCCGGTTTTCGTTCTGATAAACTTTCCATTGTTTGTAAAAAAAAAAGATGTATTCTTCTCGCGTCGCGATCTATTCTTCTCGCGCCGTTTTGCATCGTAACGGGCGGGGTATTACCTTTCCAATCATTGTGGCGAAGCTTTGCGATGTACATTACTACAGCACAGCATGAACTTCTCTGGTGGGATCGTCTTTGTTTTGGGGGGCAATCAACACACTGGTTCATCTTGATCAGAATACATTATGATTTATTTTTGTTGGGTTTAATACGCCTCCTTTTAATTTTTGTGACGACTGTATGAAATGTGAAATAAAGATGACTATGTACGATTAATGGTTGTTTAATTGCGAGCTTAATTGTCCCCAACAACAAAAAATAAAAGACGAATGATGTGAATGACTACATGTATGCGGTTATAGTCGGCAAATTGATCACTATTTGGGTCGCTTGTGTATGTTTGTAATTTGAATGATTATCAACATATTTGTATAATTCCCACATCGCGATATGATTCTAGCGTTGTATAATGGACAAAGGAATTATCTTTCTCTCCCGTCATTCATATTCACGCTACGCGTTGCACATCGCCACAGCCTGAGCTTGGAAGAATTTATATTTTGTCAGTCAAATCCTTTTTTTTCTCCTCCCATGACTTGGTTCTAATAAATTGAAGGTTTGCTTATTAGGGCTAAGAAGGATAACATCAAACAAACGATTTACTCAAGATGACGCTCTTTTCATTTCACCTTGCTGTTTGATAAAGTAGAGTTTTACGGAGCGAATACAAAAGAAAAGTTCGCTCTAAGGCCAAATAAAAAAATGTTTTATTAGTGTCCTGTTTTTTTCGAAAACTAGGAAGGAGGAGGCCCTCTCTTTTCTTTTCTTTTTCTTTCAAAATGGCCGCTCAAAATGCCCGCTCGGTACATTTTCCCTGACAGTCGGGCTATTTTTCAAAATGGCCGCCGACATCTTTTAACTTTTTAAACAAATCAGTAATAGATCCATTTTAGTATTGTTTTTCATATTATTTCCCCAAAAATAAAAAATAGGAGGCGACCCCCCAAAAAGGAAGCAGGCGGGGACGCTAAACATGTATATTTTGTTAAGTGGCCTCAGGGAAAAAAAAACATAAAATGCCGTGGCAGGATTTCACGCCCGAGATTTGCCTTCGAAAATTGCCCGTCCAAAAGGCGTTTTAAATCATAATAATTCCATAGCTCTTTTTAAAAGTGGAATAAATAGAAAAAAGAGTCCGGGAACTATATCGAGATTATAAAACATGTGTGTCATGAAGATGTAAACAATAAAGTGTAGCCTGATTGGCAATTGGAAATGCAATACAAAACATTAATCAGTTCATGATGATAATTAATCATTCGACACAACATTCGAATCATTTATTCGTAGATTTTTATAATTAAGTGGCGAAAGTGAAATTTTGAAATCTTAATGCACAGATACAAAAAACATACCAAACATGTTTTGATTCTTATTCTAAAAAAAAAAAACCGGCAAATTTCAAACGATCTTTTTAAAAGGAGGGAGGCGCTATAGCCCAGTGGTAGAGCAGAGCAGCTCGTAACCGGGAGCTCCCTGGTTAGAAACCAAGTCGATATGCTATTGTAAGGCATAACTCAACATTACATTTCGTTCGGAGAGGATCTTAAACCCGCCGGTCCCCTGTTTGCCTAATTCAGAGCATCCACATGCTTCATATAGCAGTCAGGAAAAAAAAACGAACGGTACAGGAAGCTACCTTTTATGGATAGGCCTAAATTGAAGGTTTGGCTTAACTAGGGAGAAGAAGGATAACATCAAACAATAGATCTACTCATGATGACGCTCTTTTCATTTCACCTCGCTGTAAGATAAAGTAGAGTTCTATGGAGCGAATACAAAAGAAAAGTTCGCTCTAAAGGTAAAAACATAGAATGCCGTGGTAGGATTTCACGCGGCCGAGCAAGACTATTGTTTGATCGCTATAATTGTCCGACTTGCTATAGATTCTTGTTTAGCTACACATTAAGGTTGCGTATTATGTGTGTGTGTGAGAGAGAGAGGGGGGGGCGGCGAAGTGAACGGCCGGACCAAAATGGCAGAGGTCAATTAGGAGGGCTCCGCTCGCTAGTTATAAGGACCGCTAATTCATTGGACAACTATTCATGAAGACCGCTATTCGTAATTTGAGAACATGGTCATTATGTATAAGGGTCATGAATTCGTACGACATCCCCCCTCCCCAAAACTAAATAAATAAATAGAAAACATGAATAGATTAATAAACTTAACTAATGATGCAATAACAAATAATGCCCGGTAATTGGGAATAGCCGCCTATGAGCGGAACAATGGGCGCAACAACTATTAGCTGCTCAAAGAGCTGTCTTTTGTCATTGCGTTGCAAAAACAAAGTGCTTTTAAAAGTTACATGTACTTTAATATCCGTATGCTATATAACACCCAATGTGAACATGACGTGTTCAGGCCTTATAACTATATACAGTGCACGTTAAAACAAAAGACTTTACTAGCGCTAGCTAACAAATATGAAACGTCAAAACGTCACGAACATTGAAGATAACAAATTGTTAAGACAAATGACACCACCAATAAAGTTTCTTCGCGAAGAAATATTCGATCGAATTTCATGTTTGGAACAGATAGGCGATTTCGAATTGTTCCATCTACCGAAACGTTTTGATGATGCAGGCTCCCGACAATACGACTATCATTTTTGTAATATCTTTAATTTGCAGATGTTTGTTTGTTTTGTATGACATATTTATAAACGCCCTATAATCTCATTTCAAGCAGAATCTTTCAATCTCTTTGAGTATAAGTATCATTTTTAAATCACGGGTATTTAAATACAATAGCTGATTTTGCGAAGATTTAGAGAACCTACGTTTCTATTCTTTAAATCGATCTTGCATGAGAAAGAACAGAGTGATGATATAGATATATGACTTATTTTGATCGGATGACAGAACAAAATAAATGTAATATGAAACAAATAATGTGTCAAAACATACAGAAGGAATACAATTATACATATCGTTTTTGTTTTGTTCGTGTAGAAATTAATATAATACAAGTATTGAACACATTAATGAACAGAAATGAACAATCATAACAACGTCAACGCCTACACAACTTCGATATTTGGGAGGAAAATAACAATCAGAACAACAATCTAAATCAATGTCTTGTACGTAAAATAATAATAAAACATATCAGTAGCCAAAGTGAAAATTTTAGAGTCAAATCTTTCTAGACGAGAGCGGACACACACGCGGGGATTACATTAATAACTAATGCGTAGGAACGGGCGCGAAAGCTTTTCAAATTCACAAATTCACAATTCACAAAAAGCGCTTCGCCTTTAAGCGCACCCTCCCCCCCCCCCCCCCACCCCGAATGAGTGTTATGTAGGGTACGCATATGCATTTTCCCTCCTTTTGAAAACAGTCCCCTAAGTCCGGTGTGTAAAGTCAATACGGGCCAGATTTGTGTGTACTAGACGAGCCGGACTTTGGTGCGTGAAAATTACCCCTTTACCAGACAGTAACAATGAGTCTCCAAACAATAGCCAGATTATTGTGAGCATGTGCTTAGTTATATCGGGATTCACTGGTTATATTGAAGACGTGGGCTAATATCTGTTTGCCCAGTATTTCTCGCTGATTGTTTGACCAACATTAAATTGCTATTGTCCAGCTGACTTTTCTAAAGGCTTTTCTACCCTCGGCGCTAAAGGGATTGCGGAAAATTTCAACTTTATTTGTGTTTCTTGATGACCCAGTAGAAGAAGAATAAGGGCTACCCTGCCCCCCCCCCCCGAAAAAAAAATGTCCCAAAACAACGCAATCATTATTAATTCCGTTTACTACTTGATACCAACACGTGCATGATGGATCCCCCGGATGGATCCTTATTTAGACAGTGAGACAGTTCTGTTACGAGAAGCAATTCAACGAATTGCCATGGCTTGTATATGTTCTAGAACGCACTACGCTCTTTCGATAACACGTGGCCCCTATTCAGCACTATATATACGTATTTTAGTTATTCTTAACAATGACCTAGATCTAAAACTGGCCGCGGATGTAACCCCCCCCCCCCCCTTCGTCGCAAAGAAATATTCGATAAAATTCTTTGACACAGAATGATAAACTAATTTCTTCTTGAGATATGTTTGGGGTGAAATTTCAAACATCATTTCCTGGTAACTCTCTTCTTTTTTAATGCATGCTCTATTCTTACGATTTAGGCATAATTTACTATGTTGATTTGCAATTGATAATCTCCCTGGGAGTTTTGCGATATCCCCGATGATACGGGTACAGTGTATTTAATTTTCTTCGTAATATTAGTGTTTTGCAAAGAAAAAGCATTCTGAAAATGAGCGTCTTCCTTCTAACGAAACATATTGATGATGTTCCCGACAATACGGATATCATTTGCATTAAAAAAAAATCGTAATACAGATAGAACGCTTTTTAAATCCAATTCAAGGAGAAACCAAGACATTCTTGATTAAGTATCATTTTCAACATCAAGGATTTTAAAATACGTTCTCTAATTTAACATCGCTATAAGGAAATATAAAATTACAATTAAAGTGTCAAAACATGCACGAGGAAAACAATGTCAGTGAGATTGGGGTAAGTATAAAAATAAATTTGTTTTTTTCGTGAACAAATCAATTTGTATTAAAATTGATTCAGTATATTGAACACAATCATGAACAGAACAGGAGGAGATGAAAAAATGAACAATCATGCCAACGTTAACGCCTACAGAACTCCGATTTTGAGAGGAAAATAAACAATCAGAACAAACATTGTAACCAATGTCATGTACGTAAAATAATATTAAAACAAATCAGTAGCCAAAGTAATGCTTTTCATAGTCAAATCTCGCAAGACGAGAGCGACACACAAGCGGGCACTACATGAATAACTAATGCGCCGGACCGGGCGCGAAAGCTATTCAAAGTTTAAGCTCCCATTCACAAATGTCAAGTGCTTCACCGGGGCGCGCCCCGGCGGGGTAATTTCGTAACAATGAGACTCCAAACAATAGCCAGATTTTAATGAGCTGGCAACCAACTGAAGTCCTCTCCTATCCGACGCAAAAAGGCGCTAATGGGCGCATTAAGGCGCCTCCTTTGTTCTCATATCCTGCTCTGCGCCCCGACGCGTCGCGACACAGTCGCAACTTTGGAAGGCTCCCCTTATAAGCTACTGAAATCCTTGCTTCTGATAAGTCATCAGCAGATTTGTCACTGATTTGAGTCATTTGTCATTGAAAAAAAGGCTTTGTGAAACAGGTCCCAGGACTTCTTGTACGATGTCATTTTCAGCTACAGTTCAAAGCATATTCAGCAATGTATGCGGCACTTTTAAACTGCAAGGAACAAGAGCTCTCTGGAAGACCAATAGGATTTGATTGAATTGAAGTAAAAAATTGCATGTGGTAATAAAAAAAAAACGTAGACTTGACTTCAACTTTAACTGGGGAGTGTTTCACAAAGACTAAGATCGACTTTAAGTTGAACTTAACTATGGCAGGCCGTTCATGCCACTGCTTGCTCTCACCATTTATTGGCAATGGTCTTTCAAGGGACGTACAAATCATGGTCACAAATCTACAGAATTTCGCTTTTTTGATAGTTCACCATTAAAGGAAAAAATAGTGTATAAAGATCATAATTGAGAGACCAATGGTGAGAGCAACCAGTGGCAAGAATGGCTTGCCATAGTTAAGTCCAACTTAAAGTTGATCTTAGTCTTCGTGGAACACTCCCCAGAACTCAACCTAAACTTTAGCCCATAACTCACATGCTTTCCATCAGGTGAACTCAGCTTGATCCGTATATTACTAGGCGGCTCGATTGTCATTGATGATGATGACGATGATGACACTGTCTCCATAGCAACAAACTTCATCTGACCAACTCCTGAAGATGATGATGATGATGATGACGATTGTGTAGACCTGTCCGTTTGCAACTTCTGCGCTCTTTCCTCCTTGGATTTCTGTTGCTGATTTTGAGGAGCGTTCTCAGATATCCTCCTTCCGAGTGCTTTCTCTGTTTCACTCATTGTGAGCTCCTCCTTGTGTAGGAATTTAGACTGAGAGGAAAATACAATGAAGAACAGACTGAAGTGAGATAAGCACACAGGCAATAGTATAGAGATATCGACTGCCATTAGAGGCCTGGCTGTTAAAGGCTCAAGGGGACGTGCACATCCTGCCATGACCCCGAGGTGCGCCTAAGTTGGCAGCGCGCCGAGGGGTCATAGCAGGATGTGCACATCCCCAAGAGCCAACAGCCAGGCCTCGAATATTAAAGCAATCGATATGTCTTTTATATACCGAATAGACACATAAATTTACCAAGAATTCTTAGCTTATCCTTTTCTTGAGTAAAGATTGGTTAAAACATCACAGAAAATCTGAGACACTGTCTGTTAATCTTCCATGGAAAGATGATTGGATGCTACAATCATTTGGGAATCGCAAACAAAAAGCAATGTATGGTATCCACGTTTGCACAAAGACAATTTTCACATGTAAACCAAAGGGGATCGCAGCAAAATTTAACTAGTTTTCCTGGTACCCAGAATCTTGCGGGAATCTAACTCATGAACTGGCATTGTTCTTTTCTTTATGGGAATGGCTTAAATCATGAGGAGGCGTGATAAAGCCGTCTGGTTGCTTACTTACAAGCATTTATGCTTTCTTAGCAGTCAGGTAAAATAACCATCACGTCACATCACGACTCCTATTTCGACCAATCAAATGGCTAGATTTCTAAGAGAGGTATATTTATAGAATGCACTGTGAAACTGATGACTCAAAGAAATTATTTGTATTAATGATGCACACATTGTAAAAGAGGACGTAGATAGAGAGGGGGAGAGGGGGTAGATGCAAAAGAGAGAGAAAGAGAGAAAGAGAGAGGGAGAACACAGAGAAAGGACAAATGGTACAGAGGAAGAGAGAAAGAAAGATGAGTGGAAATAAAATAATTAACTAACCCCGCCAGTGAGTATGATCTTAGAGGGTGGCTGCATATCCAGTGTTGGATTCCTCGCGGGGGAACCCTCCTTAGACTTTGCCCTGGGTTGCTTCCGGGGAGACTCTCTCCCCTCACTCTGCAGACTCTCCATGCCTTCTGCATAGAGAATACAATACAATACAGGGGGGTGTTTCACAAAGATCCTAAGTTGAACTTATCTCTAAGTTGGACTTTACAATTATGGAAAGCCGTTAGCATCTATGAAACTATTTTGTAAAAGTTATTTTATAAGGCATAAAATGTTGATTCCAATCATTCATATTCTCTTTTATCAAGGAGATTTCTTGTTCTTGCTGCGGAATTTATAAAAAGTCTGAAATACTTGGATACTTGTTCAAACTTTGAAATCTTTGTCAACTTCACTTCTTTTATACATCTGGGACCCGTTTCACAAAGCCTTTTTTCAATGACAATGCCAAATATCAGTGACAAATCTGCTGATAACCAATCAGAAGCAAGCATTTCAGTAGCTTGTAGTAACAACTGTCATTTGTCACTGATGACAAGTTTTGTGAAACACCCCCCTGATCTCCTCACTCTTATTTATACCTGGCTTGTCCATAGGGGTGGCACCTTCATGGTGTGATGTTGATGCTGATGCTGATGTGCTTGAACAAGGCATGTCTGTCAACGATGGTGGCTGAAAGGATGCTGCTTCCTTGCTGGCCGTCTGCACGAAATCAAATTACAGAAATATTAAAGGGATAGTTGAGTTCTGTTTACAGACTGCAAATGCCTTCAAAGTGCATGGTAATTGCTCTTATTGTTATTTATGACATTTCTATTGCCCTTTTAGACTCTAAAATTGCTATGAAAGTAATTTTAGACCCCTAAAATGTGTGAAATTTAGCCAATACGATCATACCAATTCACCTCCACTTTAAAAAAAGCGCAGTGACCGTTAATTATTTAATTAAAAATAACAATACATGAGCCGGCTAATTGTGGGTAATATAAGCAATACGAGAATGCCAACAAAAAAGCCAACATCGGCATTGGCTGAAATACGACGTAAAAGGCGTTATTGCCTTTTTTCAACAGTTTTTTTAAATTTTTCAAAAAATCTAATATTTGTGGTGGTACACAAGTATTAGAAATCATTATATTTCAGCCGTCTCTGAACCGATTTTGATCAAACAAAGATGATTTTGACATTTAAATATTACGTTCTTTCAAATTTGACACTAAGTTTTTCATTATCTCACAAAAAAAATATTTTGTGTAGCCCCCTCTGCAACAGAACTCAACTATCCCTTTAACTCTTCATATGCCACACAACTAATCTCCTTGTGCCACAGTATAATAATCATGGGATAGACATTTTAAAGGTTTCAAGATTACTTAACCATTTCTAGGGCAAGATCTAATACCGGTATTAAAAATGGTTGTGATAATGGCCGGAAATAGGTCGTCATCATCATCGGCATCATCATTGTCATCATTATCATTATTATTATTATCATTATCTTTTTTTTATAATCATTCGATAGAAATTCTAAAGGTTTCAAGATCACTTAACCATTTTTATGGCAAGATCTAATACTGGTATTAAAAATGGTTGTCATGAAGGCCGGAAATGGGAAATTTAGTACTAGTATCATCATCATCATCGGCATCATCATTGTCATCATTATCATTATTATTATTATCATTATCATTATCATTATTTTTATTATTGGTTATTCGACAAACAAAAAATCAAGAGTTCAAAGAGAGTCACCCAGATGCTGGAAAAGAATTTACTATGTGACTTTGACCCAAATGTCTTCTTTTCCGATCGACAAGACTTTAAATAAATGAAACAGCATACAACAGAGCTGCCAACCTCCAGAACAGAAAATGAGTAATCACAAGGCTCAAAACCAGTAATTTGGGGAATAAATCAGTAATTTCCTAGGCGGCGCTATGTATCTAAAAACAACGGCATGCCAACACTGCGCAGACGCATGCATGCATTATCATCTGAAATTTCTGGCGGTTTGCCTACACAAATTTGCTAAATATTGATTTTCAGGTCATCACAACACATCACTTTTCATGAAAAATTGGTTTTTATCGCCATACTGCACAGTACTCGCTACGATAAATCATATTTATGGTTAAAATAAACAACAACAACAACAAAACAAAAAACAAAAAAAATCAAAACAATTTTTTTTTTTTTTTTTTTAAATCCGTAATTTGAGACAACATTCTGTACTGGTCGTTAATTTATGGGAAATCCGTACTAGTTGGCAGCTCTGATACAATAGGATAATTAGAGTAGTGAGACCATTATTTTCTTACATTCTGTAGTATAGTTTCAACCACCTTCTGAACGAGTTGCTCGTTGCCAAATTCTCCGGGATAATGCCGGTTGACGAGAGATTCCGCCATCTTGAAGGCATTGCTGTTGAGGGTTGGGTCAAGCTCGTTCTGAAACCAAACAACGTCTTCTTCGATCGTCTTCCCCTTCCAGATGAGGGGAACCTTGAAACTATAACAGAGGAAAGAAAAGAGAGAAAATTAACATATTGACTAAAGAGACTTAAGAGAAAGATAGAAGGAGAAAAAATGAGATTAAATAAAGGTATAGAACGAAAAAGCTCTCTTCCATATTTTTTTCTCTCTTTTTCTTTCTTACCCTTCCATATTAAAAAAACTTTGAAACAATGAGAGCAAAGAAAGAGAGAAAAATAAAAGAGGTATACAAAACAGTTCAAGTTCAACATCATTTAAGGATGAAAGTAGGTAATTAATATAGCTTAAACAATTATTTATACCTTTTTGTTTTTTTACATTAAGGAATAGCCTATTTTCATGATATAAAGAGAAAATACACAAATTCTTTTTGAAAGTCACTTAATTAAGTACTTTTAATGAGCCATGCAATTCCCAGCATTTCCATTGCCATGGCAACCAGGAGACATTGCCCCCCCTCCCCCCAAACAAACAAAAAACAAAACAAAAAATGCATAATTTCCATATATGGTGAACAAATTTGATGGGGGAAAAAACAAAATCTTTCAGATATAATCTGAGCTATAGATGGCGCTAAAACCATAGGGGGTTTCCCCAGTGAGAGAAAGGGTGAGAGAGTTAGAGAGAAACAAGAGAGGGGAGAAGAGGTCTTTTTCTATTATTTAGTCATCCACACATGGAGGAAATTCGTGCTGCGAGAGAGAGAGAGAGAGAGGGTTGGAGAAAAGAGGGGCAGAGATGGGGAGAGGAAGAGTGAAGGAAGGCGAAAGCAGAGATGGAGAGAGAGAGAGGCAGATAGAGATAAAGGCGAGTGGGTGAGAGAGAGAGAGAAACCAAAGACAAAAGCTTAGCTGTGTGACCAAGGCATATACAAATTTTTCCTCAAGAAACATTTTTTGAAAGTCTTCAGCAGTGAGAGAGTTAAATATTGTCATTACAAAAGAAGAATGAAACAATGAAAATGATATTTTTCTTACATTTTGGGTGAATTGTCATATTCCACACCGTCCCAGAAGTGTTTATGGCCGCAGTTACACATAGTGGAACTAGACGCTGCACTGGTGCGATCTCCATTCATGTACACGATGCTCCCGTCAGTCTTCACTCGACGAAGCTGTTTACTGAAAACACACCCAAATAGAAATATGTTAATACATGAATGCTTTGAGTAGCTAATACAGCCGAACCTGCTTTAGTGACCACCTGTCTACATCATTTCCTTTGAAAATGGTTTCTCGTTGAAACATGTACTAAAGGAACCTGTCTACAAAGACCACTTTTTGTGTTTCCCTCAGGCGGTCACTATAGACAGGTTTGACTGTGTATGTAAGACGTACAACTAGAGGCTGCACTAGTATGATATGTCTTAATGTTCACAATGTTCCCATTGGTCTTCAATCGACATAGCTGTTGACTGAAAACACAACAAAATAGAAATGGGGCCAGTCACCACGAAATGAGTCCAGTGTCGCATTAGGCTCAATCGTAGTAATAGCGATGTATAGTGTGTATGTACTGAAAATTTACCCACCTACCACATTTAAGATTTTTCCAAAAATCGACTTATTATTTCTTTGTTTGTTGAAAGTTTCATTGAAATTGAATGATGGGAAGTGTGTTGTTGCTATGTTGTTGTTGACCAGACTATAATATGTTACGCATCATTAACTTTACACCTAATTATCTAAAAACTGGGTAATCCCATTGTTATAAAGTCCAATTAGGTTTTTGTTAATATTTCTGGATATAATTTATCAATTTTAATGTGTGACCCCTTAATTTAAAGCTTACTTAATGTAGATTCATATAATACTTAAAAACAGGAATAAAATTTTTGACCAACTGGACTCATTTCGTGGTGACAGGCCCCAAATACGTAAATACATCAAATGCTTTTTGTAGCTTTTTGCATTGGTCTTTACACAAGGAAGCTGCTTACTGTAAACAACTTAACACAAAAAGAACCCTCAAGCAACCACACTAGCGCAGCCAGCCTTTCCAATCATTTTTCTTTTCTTCTCTTATGAATATGAATACTTTTTTATCTTGATGTATGTTGCCAAATTAATAAAAATGTAATAAATTAATGAACACTCTATGGCTTTTGTGACCCTTATTTATTGTTAAGAGCCTCATGACACTTTTGTATCCCTATGATCTTTGGTGACCCCTATGACCTTTATAACCCTCGTAAACTTTTGAGACCCCATGACCTTTGTGACCCCCATAAACTTTTGATACCCCATGTCCTTTGTGACCCCCATGAACTTTTGATACCCCATGTCCTTTGTGTCCCCCTATGACCCTTGTGACCCCATGATCTTTGTGATCCCCTACGACCTTTGTTGACACTTACCCTTGACACCATGGGCATGTCACATCTTGTTTGAAGGTATGATCTGGTATGAGCTCATCGGAAGCAGCATCATATGTACACTGGATATCTGCATGAACATGAATTCAAGAAAGGGATTGAGAGAAGGTAGGAATTCATTGGATAAGAAATTGGAAGTACACTGAATGTCTAGATAACAGAGGAAACGAAGAGAGATTGAGAGATGGCATACACTTACAGAAAAAACAATAATAGCTTCAATATAAGCCAAATGTCGAGAAAGTCGACAGGAGCGGATGAAAGCTTAAAGGGGGTGTAGCATGACAAAACTATGTGTATTTCCCGTGGCCTGATTCAGGGCAAATTGGGTATAATACTGTACAAACGACGCGACCACAGTGTTCACATGCATGTAATTTACTTGCAGTTGTCCAAAAGAAGTTGTAGATGGTGTTAACCAGTATTTGCCATGCTACACCCCCTTTACAGTTTAGATAATACATGTTATGATTACTCCAACCAATGAAAGCTTCCTGTATCAGCTCATAACCTTCCCCAGAACTCAATCTTCTCTTTAAAGCTCTTCAACATAACCCAGACCTGCCAACCTCTTGAGTACAAAAACTGTATTCTTTAGTCCCGAAAGTTATATTTTACTGACAAAAGTTGTATTACTTTTTTAAAGCGTGGATCAATGCTCCATAAAAGAAGAATTTTTTTGTTATGGATCATTGGTTGAATATGCATGATTTCGTCATGATTGGTGTGTTCGATGAACCAATGAACAACCCCAAATTGCCCATATGAGGTGCATGTACGCTACTTTACGGGACAGAATAGGCATTTTGTCATTGAAAATGACACACACACACACACACAAAATAAAATGTATATAAATCATTTTTTTATTAAAAAAAAAATATTACAAAAAATTATTAAAAAAAAAAAAAAAAAAAAAAAAAAAAATTGTTTTTGTTTTGTTTCTGAAAATCGTATTTTGTTGAAGAAAATCTTACTGTCGTATTAACTTCTAAAATTCGTACGAAATATGATTAAATCGTACTGGTTAGCAGGTCTGCATAACCTAATAATGTCAGTTAATACCTTGGGCAGGGAAGTCGTAGGCACGCCCTTCCTGGAGCGCCCCATGCACCTGATTGGCTACCAGGTAGAGCTCCCCACCTGCCTTGAGACCAGGGGGTGCACCGCTGTACCCCTGGGGGTAGGGAACCTGGGACACGGCGGAACAGATCAGACACCGGTATAGCTGGTGGTCCTGGACCGACGCCCTGGTGTGCTCAATGATCACTTTCTGATGGACACCAACAATACCTGAGGGGATACAGAGTTACAGACGATTAAGATGAAAGAAAAGAATGAAACAATAGGCCTGTCCTCATTAGCTCGAGATTGCCACATAACCCGCTATTTGAACTATCCTGATCGCAAATTATCCAGCTAATATGCGTTTTCATCAGCCCGCAGATGCAACTAGCGGGATATTTGGTCGAGATAATCATCCCAAAATATCTTAGGCTAGTTTGCAAAATATCCCTATAAAACAATTAGAAGGCCATGATCTTTATAAGCCCTGTGCATTGTAACTCTGGAATATTATGTGGAAATTTGGGGGAAACAGGATTTTAAATCACAACCAATCCAAACATAACCTCTACCTGGTAATATCAACATGTTTTTCAAAAGTACACAGAACAACAATTCCGATTATAAACCATAACTGCACATCGATTTCCCATGATTTAAGCGAGTTAATATCTTCTGTGCATGTGTAAAATCACTATCTTGATTCTGTCCCGGCTTTTGACGGTGACCATCATGAGATCAAAGTGAAGAAACACGTACGGAATGTTATTGAGACGACATTGACGGAAACAATCACAATGAATTCGTTAAGAAAATGATGAATGTCCATCCGTAATAGGTCCATGGTTTTGGTAACACCATAATCACCAGTTCATGGACATATACAAAGTATGTGTTTTGGACAGAGGGAACCAGGTTACTTCGAATGATTCTATTGTACCCCATTCACAGTGGTTTTGAAATTTGTAGCGGCGTTGTAGCGGAGCGGCGACACCGCCATAACACCGCTACAAATGCATTCACAGTAGAAAAGTTTTCCCGCTGCAGCAGCGGGATAAATATCATGTACCCATTCACGCTGCAGCGGGTGATTTTTATTACCTCCGTAACAAACACGTGTATGCATGGCTCATGACCCGCGAGTGACCCCGATATGACCGGAAATACTTCAGCGCGGGGTTTTCGATTGCTTGAAATTGCGCGCGCTAGCTGTACTTTACACACTCTTCCTCATGTAGCTAGCTCGATTTAGCTATGGATCTATCTATACTTTTACGTATTGCTGTCGCTTTCCAGTCAGAATATTTTAATTTTTTGAAGTGTGAAATATTTTTATTTGGATAATTATAATATCTACATAATAATAAAATCAATTTGAATCCACTGGTTACTTTATTTCTATTTCACTTTATGTTCCCCATTGCTGGAGAAAAGAGGTCAGTGATAGGTAAGTAAACAAATCACACGTGTTTGTCGCGGTGTTATCGCGGAGAGCCTTCACACTGAGTAAACACCGCGACAGCAGCGGGACTGTCCCGCTGCTGTAGCTAGGCGAACCTAGCGATAGTTTGTCGCGGCGTTATCGCGAGGCGGTGTTATCCCGCGATAGTTTATAACGGGTCCGAGCCTTCACACTGAAGACAACACCGCGACAGCAGCGGGACAGTCCCGCTGCTGTCGCGGTGTTTGAGGCCACTGTGAATGGGGTATAAGATGATTGGTAAACTTGATTGATACCTGTTCTCTTGTATATAAAGTTGTAGACATCGGACACCAAGGAAGGATGAACGCCATGCTTGTTGTGGAACAGATCTTCCATGGCCGTAGCGAGACGCTGAACATAATTCTCCTTTAAAAAAAAAATAATAATAATATTTAAAACATTCAAACCTGCTTTAGTGACCACCTGTAATAATGTATTTAATCTGTAGCTAGGAATAGTTATAATTAGACAACATTTGTACTAATTAACTATATTCCTTTATATACCTCACTTAAGGAATCCAGCCATCTGATTGGTCGAAATTGCATGCATAAACTATAACTATTCCTGTAAAATTCCCGGTAAAATGGTTCAGTCTTGTTAAAATACCCATAGGTTTACATGTTAAAAAATGGTCTGAGTGATCGAGGATACCTTACGTATGCGAAGAATTGGTCGGTAATTTCAATACAATTGAATCTCGATCGATCTTACCGACAATTTTTATCTTGCATTGTTGACGGGCAGGGCCAAGCTATTTGGATTGTGACGTACGGGACATTTAGAGACTTTAAACAAGAAATAACAACAGATGAAATTATTTATATGGCTATCTTTTGGTATGAGTTTGTGGCTATTATGGGCTAGTTCATTTGTGGAAAGTTTTAGTTCTGACCAATTTTTTAATTAATTTTAAATGTAATTAATGTGCTGCGTGACGTACGGGACCACAGCGTCCCGTACGTCACGCAGCACATTAATTACATTTAAAATTAATTAAAAAATTGGTCAGAACTAAAACTTTCCACAAATGAACTAGCCCATAATAGCCACAAACTCATACCAAAAGATAGCCATATAAATAATTTCATCTGTTGTTATTTCTTGTTAAAAGTCTCTAAATGTCCCGTACGTCACAATCCAAATAGCTTGGACCTGCCCTGACATGAAGACGAAAATAAACTTCAAAAAAAAAAAAAAAAAACATCTGCCGATAGATCTTGATCTAAGTTCGTGCCAATATGCATTGCAAAAGTAAAAGAAGGGCCCGTTTAATGGAGCAGCCGCGAAGCATCCACCATGCAAAGCCATTTTCAATCCATTTTAATGTATATATTAGAGAAAACTGCTCAGTAAGGTAACAGAGCGCGATGGCCGAGCGGTTTAAGGCGGGGATTTTAGTTACATCACCTTTTGTACGCAAGAGATCGAATCCCATCTTCGGCAAAAGTTTTTTTTATTTTTTATTTTTTTTGGCATATAAAAGTATTAATGACTGCTTTAATATTAGAGAAATAGTATAGTATTAATGACTGCTTTGAGAGAAATAGTTGTTTTTATACGCTCAAGGGAAGGTTAGAATTGTGCTATTACCCGAGGTGTGCCGAGGGCAATAGCCCAATTGTAACCTTCCCGAGAGCGTATAAAAACAACTATTTCTTGAATATTAAAGCAGTCATTAATACTTTTATATGCCAAAAAAAAAGAAAAAAAAAGAAAAAAAAAAAACTTTTGTCGAAGATGGGATTCGATCTCTTGCGTACAAAAGGTGATGTAACTAAAATTACCGCCTTAAACCGCTCGGCTATCGCGCTCTGTTACCATACAAAGCAGTTTTTTCTTATATATACATTAAAATGGATTGAAAACGGCTTCGCGTGGTGGATGCTTCGCGGCTGCTCCATTAAACAGGCCCTTCTTTTACTTTTGCATATTGGCACGAATTTAGATCAAGATCTATCGGCAGATGTTGTTTTTTTGTTTTTGGAAGTTTATTTTCGTCTTCATGTCAACAATGCAAGATAAAATTGTCGGTAAGATCGATCAAGATTCAATTGTATTGAAATTACCGACCAATTCTTCGCACACGTACGGTATCCTCGATCGTTCAGACCATTTTTTAACATGTAAACCTATGGGTTAACCATGGAGACTGAACTATTTTCCCAATAACCATGGTTACTGGGGTTATAGAACTGTTTTAACCATGGTTACTGGGAATTTTACAGAAATAGTTGAAGTTTATGAATGCAATTTCGACGGTTCCATGACACATGCTCCGCCGACGATTGCTCCGCCGACATTTACTCCGCAAAACGCGACAATTGCTCCGCGACATTTGCTCCGCGACATTTGCTCCGACGTCAAATGCTCCGCCGACAGGTGCTCCGCCGACAGTTGCTCCGCCGACAGTTGCTCCGCCGACAATTGCTCCGCCGACAGATGCTCCGCCGACAATTGCTCCTCCGACAATTGCTCCGCCGACAATTGCTCCGCCGTCAATTGCTCCGCAAAACGCGACAATTGCTCCGCCGACATTTGCTCCGCCGACATTTGCTCCGCCTGAAGCGACACTTGCTCCGCCGACATTTGCTCCGCCGACATTTGCTCCGCCGTCAATTGCTCCGCCGACAATTGCTCCGCCTGAAGCGACAATTGCTCCGGTGACATATGCTCCGCCGACAATTGCTCCGACGACATTTGCTCCGCCGACAATTGCTCCGCCGACAATTGCTCCGTCGACAATTGCTCCGCCGACAATTGCTCCGCCTGAAGCGACAATTGCTCCGGTGACATTTGCTCCGCCGACAATTGCTCCGACGACATTTGCTCCGCATGAAGCGACACTTGCTCCGGTGACATTTGCTCCGACGACATTTGCTCCGCCCAAAAAGTGTCCCATTAAATACAAATGCTACTAGTACTACGACAAATGCTTCGCCGACAATATTTTTTTTTCACGGGTTGTTTTTGTTTCTTTCTTTCTTTTTTTCTTCATTTTTTGAATGAATTTCATGACATTATGTAAATGAAATGAAATGAATGAATGTTGATAATGTGGGAGGAAAAAGCAGTTGCCTAAAAGTCATTTCGAATATACTGAAATAACTTTCCATCTATCTCTGTACGTCCCACATAATGTACACTAAACACTCATTACATGTCATGGGAAGTTTTTTTTTTAAAGTAGAGCAGCAAGCCACATTCCCCAATACGCGCATACCTCCTAGTTAATTTCAAACAGCTCATCAATATGTAAGACCTGAAATTACCTCAATGAAAGAAGACTAATAACATGAGAGGAAAGAAAAGAGCAAAAAAGACAACCGTTTTTTGCTATTCCCCATAATGTTTGATTTAAAAAAATAAAAAATAAAATTATAGCTCCTTACGCAAGTTCTCCGGCGAAAGATAATTACTCCGCTCAAAATCTGTTTCATGTATTACTCATTAGCTGATCCAAAGCTCAAGGCTATCTCTCTCTCTCTCTCTCTCTTTCTCTCTCTCCCATGCTCCTCCTTTTCCTGTTTACACCGTTTTCTTGTCTTCTTTGCTCTTTTCTTTCCTCTCATGCTATTAGTCTTCTTTCATTTCCATCACTTCTTCTCTGCTCCCCCTCTCGAGTTCTATTTCTCTCGTGAAATTGAAACGTAAAGTAATACAATCATGTAGTACATTCTTGTTTAGAATAATATTTTCAATAATATCCAGTCCATTTTCTAAAGGTTTCTTTCCTTTAGTTAAGTGTATGTAGCTTTAATATATATATATGTTAGTGTGCAAAACACTCCGTTTCATTCGAGTACTTTGTTTTCACTAAATAATTTAAGGGACTCACGAAGCCACCGGAAGAAGAGCAATTGGCTTATCATGAAGAACTAACATCAAACTGCAACAAAATGATTTGTATAAATGTGAATAAGCAGAAAGGCTGCCATCTCATTTTCCCGTCTGAATGGGTTCTCTTCCTTACGTATATAAGTGCCCTTATTTTCTAAACTTTTTTTTTTATATTTGTGTGTTTATTAAATTTTCAATCATATAAAAATTACATATTTACAAGTCATTGGTAATAATTAGACAAACAAAAAAACCAATATGTATAAGAACAACTAACAATAATGAAAGGACAAGAAAGTTATAAAAAAAAAACATTATAGTAAAAAAAAAAAATACACTGTACACATATAAATCATAGTTTGAACTCCAGTGCATAAAGGGGAGTGAGGGGGCACAGGAATAAAAGTTAAATCAACATGAGTATCATAAGTCAAATCGCCATTTCTTAAAATGCGAAACAAGCTTGTTCCTTTTTTTCGCTGAGAAATATTCAATATCTTTTTGTTTCTTTATAAAACTCTTAAAAAGATCAACACTTGGTAAATCCCCCTTACTTATTTTCTAAACTTCCATGATGACCTATTACATTGTATAATGCTTTACCTAGTAAGATGCATTGATCGAGGTAATTTCAGGTATTACATATTGATGAGCTACTTGAAATTAACTAGGAGGTATGCGCGTATTGGGGAATGTGGCTTGCTGCTCTACTTTTTTTTAAAAACTTCCCACGACATGTAATGAGTGTTTAGTATACATTATATGGGACGTACAGTGATAGATGGAAAGTTATTTCAGTATATTCGAAATGACTTTTAGGTAACTCCTTTTTCCTCCCACTTCATCAACATTCATTCATTTCATTTCATCTACATTATTTCAAGAAATGCATTCAGAAAATGAAGAAGAAAAAAAGAAACGAAAAAAATAGGTGTAAAGAAAATATTGTCGGCGAAGCATTTGTCGTAGTACTAGTAACATTTGTAGTTTATGGGACACTCTATGGGCGGAGCAAATGTCGTCGGAGCAAATGTCGGCGGAGCAATTGTCGCTTCAGGCGGAGCAATTGTCGGCGGAGCAAATGTCGGTGGAGCAAATGTCGGCGGAGCAAATGTCGGCGGAGCAATTGTCGCTTCAGGCGGAGCAATTGTCGGCGGAGCAATTGTCGGCGGAGCAAATGTCGGCGGAGCAATTGTCGCTTCAGGCGGAGCAAATGTCGGCGGAGCAATTGTCGCTTCAGGCGGAGCAATTGTCGGCGGAGCAATTGTCGGCGGAGCAAATGTCGGCGGAGCAAGTGTCGCTTCAGGCGGAGCAAATGTCGGCGGAGCAAATGTCGGCGGAGCAATTGTCGCGTTTTGCGGAGCAATTGACGGCGGAGCAATTGTCGGCGGAGCAATTGTCGGCGGAGCAATTGTCGGCGGAGCATCTGTCGGCGGAGCAATTGTCGGCGGAGCAACTGTCGGCGGAGCAACTGTCGGCGGAGCAACTGTCGGCGGAGCAACTGTCGGCGGAGCATTTGACGTCGGAGCAAATGTCGCGGAGCAAATGTCGCGGAGCAATTGTCGCGTTTTGCGGAGTAAATGTCGGCGGAGCAATCGTCGGCGGAGCATGTGTCGGGTTACCATTTCGACCAATCAGATGGCTGGATTTCTTAAGTGAGGTATATAATTGTTTTTATACGCTCTCGGGAAGGTTACAATTGGGCTATTTCTCTCAAAGCAGTCATTAATACTATAATATCACTTGCATGAATGAACATCATTTTCAGAATGCAAATACATGTCCAAATCAGCATATTGCTGCAAAACATGTCTTATTAATCATTTTTTAATTGAGCTGAATTGAATTGAACATTCATACTGCATACATCATACTCAATGGAATTACAGGCCTTAAATTTCGTCATTTTTAGGGCAAGGCCAGTTTGGCCTTGAGTACCTCATATTTTTAAGGGCACCAAGGCCAAAATATTTTTACAAAAAGGGCATCGAGGCCAAAATATTTTACAAAAAGGGCATCGAGTATGAGGCCAAAAAAATTGATTCTATTTTTGTTAGATGTCATGTGTATTTTATGAAACTTGTGCGGGATCAATTTCCCACAACTTTTAGCACCAGCTTCTTCACAGAATGTATAGAGGTCTACGGTACATACAAACAAGGCGGCGGCCCGCAAGCCTTACATTTAGCAGCCAGGAGCAAGGGGCAATTTTTTTTTTTAAGTTGCCCTTTGCCACGGGAATTTACCAGAGCAAGGGGCAATTTTCCAAAAACAGATAGGCCCCTTATCTAATCATAAGTTCAAAGAGAGTCTACAAATGTTAATTTCATAATGTGAATAGATCGAACGATCAATTTAATAACTTTTTAATCTTAACAATATGAACAGGAAAGATTGATTAAGAACATCAAACTTGCACATTAAACAGTATTTTAAAGTAACTAAAAATATTGATGAGCAAATGAATAAATAAATTGTCAATTTCACAAACATCGAAAGTCAGAAGGACTTGGCAAGTTTACCGGGCCGGGTATCCCAAATCAAAATCGCACCTCACACACAAACCTTCCGCCACTCTCTCGGTAGTAGGAGCAAATTTGAAGAAATTATCTTTTTAACTGTTGTATAGGAAGGTCTAGATAGGCCTAACTAATGAAATAAGATGTAAAAATGTCCTTATAGACATTCGACAGCTGAAAGTGACACGCTCAGCTCAGTTGCGCAACGTGCATTCACGAAACCAAAATCGTTCCTCGCACACACACTCTCGCCACTTTTGGTGGGAAGCTGTCGGGCTGGAAGTTTGCCAGCGAAACCGATGCACCCTCGGAGATTAGCAGCGCGTAATTTTACCGGGACTCGAAACGTTCGTCTTGGGAAGCTGGCGGGGTAGCTTTTTGAAGCGAGGTCGGCTGGTGGCAAAATGAGAGTAACTACGATCGAGAACATCGTAGGTGTTCTTAACTTATTAATAAGATAATTCTAAATTCTATTTGAGATAAAATAATAAACTAGACCTACAAACAAACCTCGACAGATCTCTAATGACTATTTGAATGCTTGTTTATTTCTCCATTTGACGATTTGTTTTCTTGATCCTGGCCTTCGATTTGCACGTACGTACGTGCGTGCGTCAACAGCATGCATGCACCATATGCATATTATGCGATCGCATGAACGTACGTACGTACGTACGTGCGCTAGCGCATTGCCTATATAATAACAAAGGGCGCATTTTCACGGCACTTGCGCCTTATTAAAGCACTAAATACGAAGCTAGAAGAGAGCTCGTGGGCGGCAAACTGTTCGTGATTCGTGTATTTTTACTGTTCTAATAATTTATGGGCGCATTTTCACGGAAAACACTTGCGCCTTGCCGTCTAGTTTTAGATGATTATGGGCGCAATTGGTGGTTTTATGTGCGCAAATTTAAAAAAAAAAGGGCACGTCCAGTTGGAAAAAAAGGCACGTCGGCCAGTTTGAAAAAAAGGGCACAGCCTTTTTGGCCGTGAATTTATCTTTTTTTGGGAGGGCACCGCGGCCAGTCATAGGGGCATCGACGGCCTGGCCGTCGATGGCCGTCGATTAATTTAAGGCCTGGAATTACAGGTATTCTGTATTCTCTGCTCTGATAGGGGGAGGGAGTGAAATAGGGAGGGAGAATGAGCATCCCCCCAATCCCACCCCCTCCTCCAATTCTCATTCAACCTCAATGTAACTATTCACTCCCTCCATTACAGATTACGAAAGACGCGACTCAAACCCCTCCTACGGTACACATGGCGTCACCATCAAACTCAATGTAACTTTTCACTCCCTCCATTACAGATTACGAAAGACACGACTAAAACTCACTGTAAGTGCTCTGTCCCCTCCTACGGTACACATGCCGTCACCATCAAACTCAATGTAACTATTCACTCCCTCCATTACAGATTACGAAAGACATGACTCAAACTCACTGTGAGTGCTCTGTCCCCTCCTGCGGTACACATGCCGTCACCATCAAACTCAATGTAACTATTCACTCCCTCCATTACAGATTACGAAAGACACGACTAAAACTCACTGTAAGTGCTCTGTCCCCTCCTACGGTACACATGCCGTCACCATCAAACTCAATGTAACTATTGACTGCTTCCTGGGACGTTCCCCAGGCCTTGGACAGCATCCATCTTGGTAACCTTGGCAACGGACGACCTGGTAGGAATAAAAGAGCAAAGGTCATACAGAACATGATTTATTTGTCAACTACTACAAGATGAGGATACAGTTGAACCTGTCTTAGTGACAACCTCACTATAAATGCCACCTGTTTACAGTGGACACTTTTTTCGCATTTCTCTTGGGTGGCCTTAAAGGTACTATGTCCCATTTGCAGGCCAAAAAAATGAAAAGGTTAAATTCCAACTGCATTTGAAAGATAATACTAATTTAGAACTTCCCTAAAAAAGGTGGGGCTTGAAAATGTCTTCAAGTGGGAAAATAACGACTATTAGTTGTCAAATCGACTTTAGGGCTATAGAGCCCAAAAGTAATAGTCTTGATTTTTAGACAATTGTACCGAATGGTCATCCATTTTATGCTGCGCAAAGATGCAATCAGTTTAATCTTGGCCATCACAAGAAGTGGGTTATTGATGTAGACAAATGCTCATGTACCCTTTACAATTCTTTTCATGTTTGTTATTACCAAAGAAGAAAAAAAAGCCAGTCAGTCAGTCAATAGTGTCTGACAGTGAAGTCTAGCAAGTAAACGGGTTTCCTTGCATAATTTGAATATGAGGACACTGCTATACGTTTAAATTTCACAGATAGGACGTACATGACATATTCATAATTCCTGCAAAGTTCTACAGAATTTGAGGTTGGCTGCAAAAGGGACATAGTACCTTTAATAGACAGGTTTACTGCATTTTCAACTTGTTTTTCAATAACAAGCTATTACAATTGTTATAAGCTACTGAAATCCTTGCATTTGATAAGTTTTATGAAATATGGCCCAGAGGTGTACATGTTGTCAATGGGTGGGTGGGGGGTCGAGAGTGTAGACTAAATATATTCCAGCAAATATCTCTGCATACAGTAGATATGTGGTAAACAAATTGGTCTACATGCTTTCTTTTTGGATCTGGTATAAATGTACGGATACCGACTGGTAGGGTGTGTGATACTTTTTTTGGACCTAAATTCATGGCCCTTTTTTTGTATGACATACAGTACCCTAATCATCAGAGCTAGAAAAAAGATGCAGTCGAACCTGCTTTAGCGACCACATGTACAGAAAGATCACCTGTCAGTACAGACCACTTTTTTGTTTCCCTTGAGCAGAGTTTCTAATTGATATGTACTAATTAAGACCAACTACTCATTCTTTTCTCCATTGAGTGGTCTTTATATACAGGTTTCATTGCATATATACATTTGATGGTCCAATCGGCTTTAGCGACCTTTAATGTAGAGAAAGGAAACCTGTCTGCAAAGACAACTTTTATTATTTCCCTCGAGCAGAGTTTCTAATTGATATCTGTATGAAAGGTAATTGATATCTGTATGAAAGGTATCTACACATACTCATTAAAGCCCCACTGTCCTACTTTTAGCTACTTGCTCCCTCTATATAGAAAACTTCCCCAATCGGTGCCTGTTGGTCCCCCATGATCCTCTATGTTATTTGAGAACTGAGTTGAGTTGATGAGATAGCCACCTGTCAGTGACCTTGCTGTGTGGTCTAATCCCTCCTAGCCACACTAGTGTTGATAAGCTTTAAGACCACCTGTTAATTCTCTTTTCCTTTGAATGGTCTATGTATACAGGTTCCACCGTATACACTATACATACCTTTGACTCCTACAAGAGCTATGAAGTGATTTCTGCCTGAGCTACTCCAAGCTACACAGAGAGGCTTGTTCAGTTTGCCATCCTTCCCCCGACAATCATCAGGCGTGTGAAGCACAGGCAGAAACACCCCTACAGTGGTTGGAAAACAATATAGTGATGAAGTACTGTAGTTACATATTAGGGCGTGTTCACACGATGCAATTATCATTGGTTAAGAGCCACCAGGGTGATTTATAACTCATATCCATTTAGACAGAGTTTTCAAATGCCCTGCTAGCTCTTAAAACACTTATTTCAAATATTCAGGTGTATCATGTAGCCACGCTTGTCAGGAAGAAGAAGAAAAGGAGGAGGAAGGAGGAGGTAGAAGGAGGAGGGGGAGGAGGAGGAGGAGGAGGAGGAGGAGGAGGAGGAACAGAAGAAGGAGAAGAAGAAGAAGAAGAGAATAGAAGAAAAAGAAGAATTAGAAGAAGAATTAGAAGAATAAAATTAAAAACACAATAACAACAACAAAGACAACAAGATGGATAAGAAGTAAATAAATAGGAAAAGATGATGATGAAGAAGAATAAGAGAAAGAAGAAAAATAAGAAGGAGAAGAAGAAGCAGGAGAAGAACAAGATGCTACAGACCTGAATAATCCCCAAAGCTTTCCAGTCCACTCAGTGAATCCAGAAGAACGATAGGTCTCCGTAGGATGTTAGCTAATCCAAAGATATGAATGTTCTGCAGCCCCATGGCTTCATTGGGTCCGGGAAGGTAGTCCGGATCGCTCTCCGCGATGATCTGAGGCCATTCGTCGCTATCCACAAAGTCCCGGAACAGGTTCTTATAGCGGTCCAAGTCCCGCTCAAAGTGGATCTTGAGGCTTGTCCGCAGGGCGTGCCAGAAGAGTTCTCGACCGACGAGCGCCCTCGAGATGCCATGAACGAGGCAGTGTCCGTCCCCGTCTGCGTGTATTGGTATTAGGACTTCCTCATTCCCATTGACCTGCTTGATCTGCTCCAGAGTGTTACGTAGGTAGTGAGCACTTCCGGTCTGGTCGCGCCCGTACCCCATGATGTCGATATGCTCCGGTTGGATCAGAAAGGCACGTCCACCTAGGTTCGAGCATTCAAAGACATTGCTTTGCGTCAGGGTTTGCAGCGGTTGCGCCTTGCCTTGCTTGTCCATGCCAAAGTTAGTCAACAGAGGGCTGAGGAGCTTGCAGTGGTAGTTTGACAACCCGAGGACCTTGACTGAGTCTGTCGTCTTCTTCGGCGCGAAGTTTCCCATGAGGATGGTACGGACCATGTTGTGGAGAGCAACATCGGGATCTGTGACTTCCGCGACGGAGCGCAGTGCCTGGCGGGGATGCCTCTGGCCGCAGTTGGTGCACTCGACACTGGTGTCGTAGGAGGGAAAGTAGAGTTTGGTCTGACAATGCTCGTCTGGGCATACGCCAGACAGGAAACAGTGACCCTCCACCGATTGCTTGTTCATCTTGGACATCCTTCCGAAGGCAGCCCCAATGAATAGGCCTGAAATGAACAAGGAACAATGTTTCTGTTACCCTAAATCATAAACAGAATGTTAGACACAATAGAGGAAACAAACGAAGGACAAAAATAATTTAGTCCTAGATAAAAAAGAGTCTAGATCTACATGTACATGTTCATGTATGTGTAAAAGTTTGCCTCAAATGCATTACTATTCTTCTAGTGCCAGTGGTTTGCTTTAAAATAATTATTTTGATTACGAGGATCAATAAGTTAGTTAGTAAACTAAATTTAGAAATCTACTTCTTACTTAGCAGTATGCATTAGAGGCCCTGGTCGGAGATTGAGAATCGTCCGCATAAACGAGGATATCCTCGTAAACACGAACAAATTGCATACTAAAAAATAAAGATCGTCCAAATTTTTGCAGACATGTTTTTCATCAGCGCTCTGCGGGTTTCGGGTTCCTGAACCGCGAGCTGGCGATGCAAAAAACAGAATTCTGAGTAATAAAATAACCCCAGTTCACCGTCTACTTTTATGGGTTGTCCGTCTTCCCAAGGATTCATCGCTCATAACGTGAAAGTCTCTGTCCAAGGAAATACTTGCGGAATCCGTTGGAATGCTGCCGATCCTCATTTTTAGTTTTAGGCCCATTTTGTTCCCGTTTACGAGGATATCCTCGTTTATGCGGACGATCCTCATTCTCGGACCAGCACTCTCTAGTTGTTTCTTTCTCTTGACTTTGTCGAGTGCGAGATCAATCATTCATTTATGATCATCAAAATGACTGAAAAAAAGATGAAGTTATACCTTGGAAGTAGGCATTTAAAGTTAAAAACTTATTTGCCTCTCGTTGACATTCAGATGAAGTTAGACTATCTTCATTCACAATCACGGACTGATCTGACCGAGAGTAGATTCTAGCTTGAAATTGAATAGCCTAGCGGCCTACAGAGTATGGCGGTGTGACCAAAGTTCACGCGTGACCAAAGTTCGCTTTCTCAAAAAATCGGTAAGATTTCGAAAATCTGATATCACCAATGGAAAGACGGTCATAATAGGGTGTCTGAACGATTTTTCAATTTTCAATTTGGGATCGTTTTTCACCATTTTTGTTTGATATTTGAATTAAAAATGTAATCAGAATAATAAATTTCAAATTTCAAGTCTCGCCGATGTTTCTATCAAAAGATACAGCCCCTTCGAAACGCTGAAATATTCATAGCATTTTGCTCAGAATCGACGAAAAAGACGTACACGCAGAGTTATGTTGTTTTGCTAAATTTAGCCAAACAGCTGTATCGCGCGATATGCAAGCGTATGCATATCGTACGCAAGTTGCTCAGCCAATGCGCGACTTGCAAGCTTGAGCCACGCTGTCTCCGCGATATGTGCCATTGACTAGTATGGGTGGCCGTTCCCGCCATAGAACCCGGAAGTGAATACACGTTGTAGTCAATGGCAATATCGCGGAGACAACGTTGTCTCCGCGATATTGCCATTGACTACAACGTGTATTCACTTCCGGGTTCTATGGCGAGAATCGGCCACCCATACTTTCATTCACTATAAGTGCACATGTTACGATGTAACCATGGTTTGGACTGAGCGGAGCTCACGCCTCCCTAATTAGCTGATTCCAAAAATGTGGGAAGGGTATTTTCAAACTGTTATAACAAATGATCCCTTGGGGCTAGCGAGAAAAAAAAGCATCTGGATATTATCCTTACGTCTAGCCCTGCTTAAGCCGCGGGGGCGCAGCTCAGGAAAGTGGCAAATTTTGGAGCTAGGATGCAAACAACATTTCAATCGCTGTTTTGACCAAGATATTTTTAGAATTCTGGGGGTGGCCCCCTATGGGGAATATGGAGAAAAACCTGCTCTTTCATATGACACCTCATTTATTGAGTTTCACCTTCAGGATCATTTGTTATAAAGGTTTGAATTTCAAATTTTTTCATAAAATCATTGACCAATTTTGGATGGTCGCGCAATGCACGTAGACCACATAGGGAAGCGTACAATCTCTATGGGAAGGGTTTTAGCACACAACATTGGGTGCGCGATCAGACACCCTAGATCTAGTCATAAAATTACCCAGAAACGAAATTTTCTTTAGAATTGGGTGCGAAATTGTGAAAATATTGACAAAAGATCGGCAAATTTTTCAGTTATTTGCGTCCGTTCCGAAAAATGATCAACTTACCGATAAGGGTCTGGAAATCTTCATTTTGAGATCAGAAATCCTCAAAATTGTAAGTAAAGAGAGGTACTAACTGATTGTACGATATCTTGCCTTGCAAATTATGATATTACCTTATTTTTGATGGAACGCATTTTTTGATAAATCAACTGTAAACCACCGTGCGTGAAGTTAGGTCTCATTGTTTTTATGACTTTTTTAGATGCAGCGCACACGCACGATTGGACATCGAATTTTTAGATCGCGATATCTCCGAAATCCTTCGACGGTAAATTTTTCTAGTTGAACCAATCTGTAGTAAAAAACTTTGCCGTCCATTTGGTAATAATTGAAATAAATAAAGTTGTGTAGAAAGTGAGAAATCATAGATCGAATATCACATTTTGTAATATGTTCTAAAATGTCTGCGAACTTTGGTCACCCCTTCATACAGTACAACTTAGAATCTACTTGTGAATTAATATCAATGTAACATTACTAGCTTAATACTAGTACTTGTAACAATAGGGGAAGTCCCGACATATGACATTGCACACTTTACTTTCACAGGAAAATGCGGCCCAAAAAAAACTGCAATTGCAACATCATACATCTTATTAATATTATGATCTTGTTGAGCTGCCTGAGCTGCCTGAAAAAAAACCTGCGCCCGGAAATGTTTGGGTAGATCCTCTAGGCTACCCTTTTTCTACTCTTCAAATCTATATTTAGTCATTAAACACATTTATTACTGCAATATGTTCATTACCTTATTTTCAATCAATTCAAAACATTCGCAGTCCCTAAGAGCATTTTCATTCAAAAGCATCTGACTTCTGAGAGCTGACGATACCCCGAGCTCAAGCCGAATGTTGACAAAGTGCGTATTATCTATGTGTGTATTGCATGTGCAATGCACTAGCGCGCGATCGAATGAATAAACAAATGATAAAAACTGCAGGTCATTTCTGAAGCAGCTCTACCATGCATTGCCGAAATAGATGCTGTATAGTGATTTTCTACATCCCAACGGCCACTGTGCACATGTATAATGTAATGTTGTCTTTCGTGTTCCCCAAATCTCCGATAAAAGGGTACTTTTAGCGCGACAAAGTCCGGTCCAAGAATTGTTTTTAAAAAAGGCGATGTATTTGACTTTTCACCCGGATATTTCTTTAAAAGGGGGTGTTCTCTCTCTCTCTCTCTCTCTCCCTCTTTGGATTCCAAAGAAATTTAAAAAGGGGGTACCAATTAAATAGAGGGTGTTAATTCTCTCTCTCTCTCTCTCTCTCTCTCTCTCTCTCTCTCTCTCTCTCTCTCTCTCTCTCTCTCTCTCATCGGACTCCTGAGAAATTAAGGGGATTATAAAATATCTTGAATATCATAGATAGGTTACATTGAGCAGTGTTCCGGATTTAAGGGGGTCTCCAATGCAGGAAAAGCACGCGAAAGAAATGTTGACAGCCCTGAGATTTAAGGGGGGGGGGGGTGCATGCTTTCAAAGGAACATGCATACGCGTACCCTAAATAACACTGAGTGGGGGGGGGGGGCAAAGAGATTCGATCATACACAGTATGTTCTCCGTAGAAAAATAGAAGAACAATATAGGAAGAATTAAGAAGAAAAAGAAGAGAATAATAGAAGCAAAAGAAGAATAAAACTGAGAACAACAACAATAACAACAACATAATTATAAACATTTAAGAACATGAAAAACAAGATAGAGCCTATTGAAGATAATGTATCTTTTATCAGCCCCCCCCCCCCTCTCTCTCTCTCTCTCTCTGTCACTCTTACTCTCTCTCTCTCTCTGTCACTCTTACTCTCTCTCTCTCTCTCTCTCTCATCTCTTTCTCTTTAGTACTATTAATTCTCTCTCAGACTGATAGGCTAATTACCCCCCCCCCTATATCTCTCTCTGTCACTCTTTATACTCTCTCTCTCTCTCTCATCTCTTTCTCTTTAGTACTATTAATTCTCTCTCAGACTGATAGGCTAATTACCCCCCCCCCCTCCCCCTATATCTCTCTCTGTCACTCTTTAACTCTCTCTCTCTCTCTCTCTCTCTCTCTCTCATCTCTTTCTCTTTAGTACTATTAATTCTCTCTCAGACTGATAGGCTAATTACCCCCCCCCCCCCCATATCTCTATGTCACTCTTACTCTCTCTCTCTCTCTCTCTCTCTCTCATCTCTTTCTCTTTAGTACTATTAATTTTCTCTCAGACTGATATGCTAATTACCCCCCCCCCCCCTCCCCTATCTCTCTCTCTCTCTCTGTCACTATTACTCTCTCTCTCTCTCTCTCTCTCTCTCATCTCTTTCTCTTTAGTACTATTAATTCTCTCTCAGACTGATAGGCTAATTACCCCCCCCCCCCCCTATCTCTCTCTCTGTCACTCTTACTCTCTCTCTCTCTCTTATATCTCAATTCTCTCTCAGACTGATAGGCTAATTACACCCCCCCCCTATCTCTCTCTCTCTCTCTCTCTCTCTCATCTCTTTCTCTTTAGTACTATTAATTCTCTCTCAGACTGATAGGCTAATTACCCTCCCCTCTCTCTCTCTCTCTCTCTCTCTCTCTCTCTCTATCGCACACACACACACACACACGCGCGCGCGCGCGCGCGCACACACACACTCTCTCTCTCAATCACATTCCTCTCGTTCCTCTCTTCCTTGTTTCACCTATAATTCTTTATCATTATTGAGGGTGATCGAAGGGCGTCTGGAGTGGCGTATCTGAGGAGAGGGCCAGGGGCATGTGTCCCAGGCGGCACCGTCACCAGTGGGTGAAAATGGAGTGCCAAAAACAGAAGAACTCAAAAGCCAGGGGGAAATTAAGAAATTCACGATCCTAAAATAATATTCAATTCAATTGTTTTTGTCCAAATTAAATCAATGGAATTTCTTACAAGGATAACATATTACAAAGGGTATAGCAAATATACTGACTAAAGACTGCATAAAACTTTAGGCTATGGAAGGCCCAAGAGAGCGGCGCTTAGAAAAATGAAATGTAAAGATATTCTCGTTCCCTCGCATAATATCCTTCACAGTGTACGAATAAAATAATATTGTAGAAAAGTGAAGTTTGAGAAAAAAATGTAATACCACAAAACTTCAAAAATATGCGAGGGGGTAGTCACTTCCGTCACCTTCACCCCTCTCGTTCACTATGCTCCCTCGCACTGGCTTAATGAAGGGGGGCTGGGGCAGTTGCCCCCTAACAAATTCAAACGTGGTTTATTTCTGATTCGATACCAGTGATTTACAACATATGTTGCTGAAATGGCATGGTATTTCCCTTAGCTTCCAGGGGCTCTGCCTTCTGGACCCCACCAAGGGCCCTAAGGCGGGCCCATGGTTGCTCATCTGACCGTAATTAAATGTCTAAAAACCCTGAGCTTCCGGGGGCTCTGCCCGACTGGACCCCACCAAAGGCAGCCACTGGATGCTCATCTGACCGTTATTAAATGCCTAAAACCCCCTGAGCTTCGCGGCTTCGCCCCTTGACCTCTGCCGGGTCTTTGCCCCTGGACCCTACACCAACTTAAGTTCCACTTTCTAGACCCCACCCCCAACACACAAACACTTTAAAAAACAGTCCGCGGGGGCTGCATGTAACATGTAAGAGCGGGTATGATGCAGATTTTTTCTGCACCCCCCCCCCCCCAGCGTTTTTGCTCATTACGCCACTGCTCCATCGTCCCTCGCATTTCGTCCCCCTGGTCATGAAAAGAAATCGCCGCCCCTGACGTGATGATACAAATTTTGCCGGGAAACCGCCTATACTAATAATTGATATATTTGGTAAATTATTAAACCTAATATCCGGTGGGGTGAGGAAAAAGGCGCTGGGGGTTCCCCGATCGACATTTTTTAGAGTAGATAATTATATAGTAAAGTGACCATCACGCCATATTTGGGTAAATAAGCTATGCGTTACATGCTCGAAAATCGTTATCTCAAGTTTAATTTGGGTTGCCCGATATATTAATCTCGTTCCTATTTTTATATCTCTAACCTATAACTAGCTTAAAGACCGTCATCACTACTGGGCCAGAGGGGATTAGACTATACATCAAGGTCAGGTCACTGACAGGTGGCTTTCTCATTAACTCAGCTCTCAACTAACATAAGAAAAAGAGGATCATGGGGGACCAACACGCAACGATTGGGGAAGTTTTCTATATAGAGGGAGCAATTAAGTAGCTATAAATAGGACAGCGTGGCTTTAAGTGAATTATGAAGCCTGCATGTGGAATAATCATTATGTCATAATTTAATTTGTTTCCATTTTGCTCGCTCGCTCGTTTTATTCCCAGTTGACAGGATGAATTATCCGCATATATATTCATGAAGCGCGTGAAAATCATGTCTATATAATGTATTTTTCTTGCTCGCAAGTAGGTTTGTAGAATCGGGAAGGGGGGGGGGGGGGGTTGGCGAAATATCTATCCCCCCGGCCAGTCTCACGGGGTCTGATCCATCATACTAGCTGTTGCAGTCGGCCAGTATATAACTGAAGCCAGGGGTGGATCCAGCCGGTGACGTAGGGGAGGGGGCCAAAGAGGAGGTCCAAATCGTGAGAAAATATTTAGCGGCAAAACAGCCAGCTGGTGAATAAGCGGAGGAGGGGGCGGGGGGGGGGGGGGGAGAGATTTGTTTTTGCCCCCCCCCCCAAAAAAAAAAAAAAAAAATCGCACCCCCCCCCCCTTGCACCAGGGGAGGGGGCCCATCTTCTTTTTACAACAAATTAAGGTAAAATTAACATGTTTTTACCCGGTTGCTTTCCCAGGGGAGGAGGCCCGGGCAAACTCCCCCACCTCTTCCTGGATCCGCCACTGACTGAAGCTAGCCCACTTTAAAAAAATCCTTGCCAAATGGTCTGAGGATCGTCTAGATCTATATTTTCTTTTCAATTAAAAAAATATATATATAAGTCTTTACTTAATACACATTTGACTATTGATTGAATATTTATATTATTTAGGTATTTTCAGATTAAAATAAAGATAATAAAATCACTGAAAACTTGTGTGTCAAATACAAAGGTCACCGAAAGACTCAAGAGTTCATCAATCTCAATTTTTATTTTAGGTGCACAGGCAAAATTAGACGACGCAACGAAAATCCATCCTGCAAAGCGGACATGGCAGAAAAGCTAGAAAATCAACCTAAGAAAAGTATTTTGAAACCTTCAAGGCACTTTGAAGACCCTGCTAATAGACCTGAGTAAGTAACAGTTCCCTTCAATCAAATACAAGACAAGACCAATTTATGTAGGCCTAGTCCCACGTACTCTTTCTTGAGTCTTTGTAATCTACACACAGCTGCTTTACCTGGTTGTGTTGGTAGCCTCTAATCGGGCACATCTACAAGGAGGTCAATGAATATGCATATCAGTGACGTCGTGTCAATTCATGAATATTGATGTTCTTGACTGCGCGCGTACGATCGTACGTACGTACGTGCAGAATTGGGGTCATGACTGTTCAATGAAGGTGATACGTGCAACACAAATCAGGGCAAAATCTTACCATTATACATTTGTATTGTCCGTGATTATGAGGTAGAAGTGTTTGAGTGTTAAGTAAATTTATTTAGTGTGGATTTTGATACATTTTTGATACAGTTTATACAAAATTGGCGATTCTTTTGGTCGTTTTTTAACTCCAAAAAACAAGTGACCAACTCGGTCGTCGGCCTAAACCACCTAGCCCTGCCTGTAGATGTGCCCGCCTACCTCTACATGAGCCCGATCGAGATAGGGATCGAGTTAGTGTAATGAAATAGTATATTGTAGTAGTTTATGATATAGACTACAAGCACGAAGCAGACTGCATTAGCAGACTACGAGTGTAGCAGAGCATAGCAGTCTATAATAGCCACCCTCACCACTAGAGGGCGCTATTCCTATTGGAAGCTTCCCTGGAATAGAGTCAACCTGAACTCTCTCTCTCATGCAACCGACACCTCAACCGAACAGACGTACCTTTACTGGAAGTTAAGGATGTCAAGCCTGATTGCCTGATACATTTCCAGTGAGTATTTCATGTCTGGTTATGGTGTCTATAAAGTAGCTCCCAAGTCTACTTCATTGGCGTCACGGACTTTTAGGACCTCGAAATGCACCGTTTTGGGGTAACTTGTTGTGTTGTTTTGTCAATTTATTTTGTCAAAACGGGGCGTGGACCTAAATTTGCCGAGTTGCGCTTTGGAGCTGTGCGGGGTAATGCTCGCTAGTTTCCTAGTGGAAACAAATTTTCCGGTTGGGGGTGGTGGGCGTTGCCTGCCCGTAGTTCCGGCCGACCATTTGTTTTAAAATGGTGAATTTTAAACTTTCTGTGCCTTTACGGGAGCGAGCGCCGTGAAGGGCTGACAGGTTCGGTGGGGGCTGGGTAGGCCCATGGCCGGATGGCTGCAGTGAAATACGGTGTTTTATATCCCGGGAGTGGATGTGTTATGTTATTTGTGGCTAGTTTTAATATAAGTGTGGTGAATGTCCTGTTTTATGTATTATTAATGTTGGGTGTGATGGAATGATGGTATATCATTATCAACCTGTTGGCTTAAACAGGATGAGATGGTCAGCCACGTTGAATGTTTATGGAAGCATTGTTATTGAATGGCGTGAATTAATGTGATGTGTAGAACAATGGATAATGGATGTGGGAAACATTCCAGGAATAACCGAGGGGGGATGGTTGTATATATATCCCCAGGCTGGGTTATGTTTTTCCATTCATATCCCCCCGAGCGTGAATCTTGAGGAGAATGGAATTCAAGATTCGCACACGATCGCTGGAGGGGATAGACCAATCAGGGCGGCGGAATTTCGCCCACCCAGATCCTCCGGAGTACGTCCCCATTCGCTCACGTGTTGAGAAGTTTCAATTTCTGAACACGTGCGAGAGTTTGAGATTTCTCGGAAACAGCTAGTGGAGGATATCTGGGTGCGTGAGCGTTGCGATCTATTTTATTGACTCGACTGTCAACAACAAACAAAAGTCTTGCTCCTGCAAAATCGTAAACTCCTTCAACTTACAAGTACTTTTGGAGTTGTGAGAGGTGGGATTCTCGGGGATCGTAAGGTAGGAAATCCGTTGCTTTTGCCTTTTAATCATTGCTTTTTCTCCTTTATCCCGATTTTGTCGGGCTTTTCCTACGTTTATTTTTTGATACGTGGACTGGTATATCCGTGTGTGAGTGCTCGTGTTACCAGCAGTTCCGTCTAGGCCCACCTATCCGCTTGGTGGTAGGGGCCAGGGGCTGTGTTTTAGCCAATTATTAAATAATTAAAAAAAAAGGGGGAATAGGAGACAAATAAAGCTAGTGATTATTTGTTGAACATAAGCTTTTTGGATTTGTTTAATTTGTTTTCAGAGGCGTAAAGCTTATTGAGAATAAATATAGATTGAGTGGATATCGTGGGGGTTCTGCTAGCTAGCTGCTCCCAGGAGTCCTGCTCTTGTGAAGGGGATTCTAGTCTCCTTCGCAGGATTGGTTAGGTTGATTCTATTAATTATTATATAAAATAACTTAATCAAATTGTAGGGTGTAAATAATTTCCAATTATTAAATAGTTCTTAGCAATCCTTACTCCTTAGGTTAATTTAGGGCAAATATTTCAGATTTGTTGGTTTGTTTGTTTAGTTGGTGGAGGGAGTTGTATTTATAATTCCCTTCGCGAATTGAATAGAACCTAGAGCCTAGACTCTAGACCTCTACTATAGGTTAGGTTACTTGTATTTTATTACATAACTTGCTTTGGTTGGAATCTGTATTAATTGTGATGTTCTGGTGAATCTATAACTGGAATTGCTTTCGATTGTTTGTTTATCTTGGTTGACTGTTCGGTTTTAACTCCGTTGTAGGGGTGTTTTCCGGGAAACAGAAGATACCAGATAAATAGATAGCACTTTTGTGACCGTGGGTGAGGACTTGGCTCGGGGAGTTTTATCCCAGGGTAGTCGTGAATCTTGGCGGTGCGGAGGTGGGGCAGTTGTGGTGTTGGAGGATTAGGGCATCTATTGCATTATACAGATACAATTATAGTATCTGTTATTTCTCATATTTAGGAATTGTTTTAGAATATAAGAATAATTATAGACTTAGAGTTTAATACTAGTATTAGGGATTAAATTTAGTAGGACATTGGGTTTATTACAGTCAGTGCCGGGGTGGGTATATCTTGCCCTGTCTCTGGTGTATTGGTTAGGGCGCAAGGAGGGGTGTAGCTCCTTCTTTTTATTTCATCGAACCTCTCAGGCGGGGGAGTAATAGCTCATTCTTGAGTGAAGTAGGCTCTTTGTCGATATTTTATATCGGTTCGGTGAATTGATCTAGGGCAGTAGGGGTCTGTGTTTCCTTTGTTTTGATTGTGATTGTGATTGCAATTGTGCTAAAATATCCAAGTGTGTTCTATCCAATTATTTACCTGTGGTTGTATGGGTATTAATAATTGTTGGGTAGTTTAATTAATCTTCTGGGATATATTTTATTGGTGCTAAAATATCCTAGTGTATTCTATCCAATTATTTACCTGTGCTTGTATGGGTATTAATAATTGTTGGGTAGTTTAATTACTATTTTGGGATTTATTCTATTGGTGGTTATATATCCTGGTATATTGTTCTGTTCAATAACTTCAATTATTCACCTGCGGTTGTAGGGTGTTTATAATTGCTGAATAGATCAATTAATATTCTGGGATTTATTTTATTGTTGTAGGTTTTGTCCTATTGTTGAAGGATTTAACCTAGCACTGTGGGGATATGGAGAAGGTCCCTATTAATAGTTGTACGTTTGAGGAGTTGCTGGCCATGCCCGGGGTAAGTCCTGTTCGAGCGGGGCGTATTTTAGAACTCCGGGAAAAGCATGGGGGGATTACTCCTGAGCTGTTGGAGTCCTCTGCTATGTTTGCGGATGTAGGCAATCTGCAAGGCTGGTTTGACTTCCGATCGCGTTTGGATTATGGGGGAGAGTCCCCCAGAATGCCATCTAGGGCAATATTCCAAACGGGCGATTTTTGGAGTAGCACGCTCCGGGGGAGAGGATCCGGAGAATCCGGAGGAAGAAGTATTGGGGCACAAGTTTATCCCCATGACGGTTATCCTCCCCCGGTGAGAGAGTCGGGCGGGTTTTCCCGCGCGAATTCGTGGAGATATGAAGGTGGGGAAGATACTTTCCTACCAGGGCCGGCCCGGACTTTTCCAACCCTGCCCCCGGAAATGGGCGATGCATTCCCCCGACCGTCTTTGTCTAGAGGGGAGGGAGATTGGGGACGCAACCGAGGGAGGGCTTCTTATCAGCCACTCCCCAAATCGATCGGATTCGACGGGCGTGGGAATTGGCGCGCGTTCTTCCGAAAAATCTCCGCATTTGCGGATGCCTGCGAGTGGGATTATCCACAGCGCCTAAACCAGTTGTGCTGGTGTCTGGACGGCCAGGCAAGCGAGTTTTTCGATAGGATTCAGGAGCGGGACCCCGATATGGGTTATTTCGGGGTAGTACGCCAGCTGGAGGGCCGGTTTGGATACCGGGAGCCTCCGGAGGCAACCCTGCTTGAATTTAACACTGCTAAGCAGGGTCTTACGGAATCCTTGTCTGAATGGGCAGACAAATTGCATCGGCTTGCATCCCGGGCATTTCCCGGGGTCCCAGATACTTACGTGCAGCGGCAACTGGTATTGCGTTTATGTCAGGGCTGCATCGACAGCGATGCTGGGTGTCATGCCCTTAATCAGCGCCTCTCTAACGTTGGGGAAGCAGTGGAGGCAATCCGCTGGTTCCAGCACGCGCATACGGTCATGTACGGCCGTACCTGGCAGGCCAAAGTGATGGCGACCGAATCGGGCGAGGTCAGAGGGCCCGAGGTGCGAAGGGTGGACATTGCCCCGCGACCGGCGCAGGGCACTCCTTCCACCCCTTCCCCTTCCAGACTTGAGACCCGGATGTCAGAGTTGGAGGGACGATCGGATAAGCGAATATCCGATTTAGCGAAGAGCTTTGATAACCGGATGTCTGGTTTGGTGAAAAGTTTGGATAGCCAGATATCTGGTTTGTCTACCAGTTTGGATATCCGGATATCCGGTTTGGAGAAAAACCTGGAGAAGATTGCCAAGGCTCTAGGTGGGGCGCGAGGGATTTCACAGACCCTGCCGCCAAAGACCCAGTGGGTCGGACGAGGGTCGGACGAGAGGTACCTGGTCGAGGAGCAGATGTAGTAAAGT